CTCTATAGGACTAACATAACCCTCAATGGGACACAACGTAGGACCTTTGTAGGGACTGTTCTCTTTAGGACTAACATAACCCTCAATAGGGCACAACATAGGACCTTTATAGGGACTGTCCTCTACAGGACTAACATGACCCTCAATGGGACACAACATAGGTCCTTTGTAGGGACTGTCCTCTACAGGACGAACATAACCCGCAATAGGACACAACATAGGACCTTTATAGGAACTGTGTCTATAGGACTAACATAACCTCAATAGGACACAACATAGGACCTTTATAGGAACTGTGTCTATAGGACTAACATAACCTCAATAGGACACAACATAGGACATTTGTAGGGACTGTCCTCTACAGGACTAACATAACCCTAAATGGGACACAACATAGGACCTTTATAGGGACTGTTCTCTATAGGACTAACATAACCCTCAATAGGACACAACATAGGACCTTTATAGGAACTGTGTCTATAGGACTAACATAACCTCATTAGGACACAATATAGGAATATAAAGAATTTAACAAAATCCTGAATCTTTGTACAAGCTAGGTGCCCTCTGTAGGACAAACTAGGAGTTTTATAGGTTCTGCCTTAATTGTAGTTCCAGCACAAATGAAAACAAGCATCTATGTTAGATTATTTAAACTTTTTAAACATAAATATGATGTATCCTTTGTATATATTTCTAAATATAGTCATGGGTATATCCACTCTTTGTCTTATCTGTGATGTCAAAAATCCAAAACTATTATTTATCAGTTATATTAAGGATAATGTTTTCTGTAAGTGACAGTGATGTTTTCTGTAAGTGATGGTGATGTTTTCTGTAAGTGACGGTGATGTTTTCTGTAAGTGTTGCTGATGTTTTCTGTAAGTGTTGCTGATGTTTTCTGTAAGTGATGGTGATGTTTTCTGTAAGTGATGCTGATGTTTTCTGTAGGTGTGTTTTCTGTAAGTGACGGTGATGTTTTCTGTAAGTGACAGTGATGTTTTCTGTAAGTGTTGCTGATGTTTTCTGTAAGTGATGGTGATGTTTTCTGTAAGTGATGCTGATGTTTTCTGTAGGTGTGTTTTCTGTTGAATCAGATGACCTATTTAGGTTTCTAAAGATCCAATTTTGAAATGAATTTTTTATTAAAAAGTTTATAGGTCATATTTCATGAGCCACACAAAACACAAGTCAAGAGTGAGTCTACCAAGTTTTAGCAGTTATCTCTACTTCTTGTTTTTTTTCTCAAATTTAATTAATGCAGAGAACAGCTTAAACTGTGACATTTTACAAAATTATTATTTATCAATAAGGTGTCAATACATGTACTTGTTCAGACGTGACTAGATTTTATCACAGCTAGGGTTTCTCTTAAAAGATTTTTTTTCAAATATGAGTAAAAATACTTTATGACATAAAATACAGGATACAATTGTTTGCTATGAGACATGAGGACTCTCAAGTTGTACGCTACACTAACACATTGTACTGTAAAGGGTCACCATCCTGGTTCAGTAGAGGACAAAAAAAGTGTGGTTATCTTCAGTGTGATCTCACTCAATAGAACAACAAACTGAACCTACGCAACACGCATACCAACTTACTGGTAGCTTTTTATAGATTTGAAGCAGGAAGTTACAAATTTGGAAGTTGTATTAAAAATAGCAACCTTCATGTAGGGAGTCCTATCCAGCCAATGGGGAAGATCAGAACAGCTATTTTCAGATCCAGTATATAAATGTTCATGTAACGGTGTAGTATGGTAATAAAACCTGTTAGAAGTTTACACTGGGGTGGGGACATGACCACCAGTATGTCTGTAGTTCCCCTCCTCTATATGTAGAAGGTTACACTGGGGCGGGGACATGACACCAGTATGTCTGTAATTCCCCTCCCCTATATGTAGAAGTTTACACTGGGGCGGGGACATGACCACCAGTATGTCTGTAATTCCCCTCCTCTATATGTAGAAGGTTACACTGAAGCGGGGACATGACCCCCAGTATGTCTGTAATTCCCCTCCTCTATATGTAGAAGGTTACACTGAAGCGGGGACATGACCCCCAGTATGTCTGTAATTCCCCTCCTCTATATGTAGAAGGTTACACTGAAGCGGGGACATGACCCCCAGTATGTCTGTAATTCCCCTCCTCTATATGTAGAAGTTTACACTGGGGCGGGGACATGACCACCAGTATGTCTGTAATTCCACTGCCAATCAAATGTTTACAGGTGTTCATGCGATCTAATGTACACTAGCTTTTTCCTTCAAAAATGGTTAAGATGGTAAAGTGAGATGTTCCTGTAACTTTTGACCCTTTAACTTTGAAAAACGTCCCAAATTCAAACTATTTGAGGAACGTGATATTACCATATTATGGTGTAAATATTAACCAAATATATTAAAGGGTTTGTGAAATATCTTGTACACAATCATTTTACTTTAGACGGATGCAGGGACTCACCGACACACCGACAAAGCGACTACCAGGCACACTAATTTAACCCCACCCCCACTCCCTTGTCACTAAAGAGAGGTATAATTATGAGTTTGGTCCTTAAAAGGGTTTTTTCAATCCATTCAAAAGTATCTGTATCTGTACCCGATAGTTGCAACTTACCTTCCAATGCAGTTAAAGGATTCAAATTTGAATTTGTACAAAAAACAAGTTTGAATTTGTACACAAAACAAGTTTGAATTTGTACACAAAACAAGTTTGAAGTTGATGAAGGTTATTTTATTTGATCAAACAAATGCTACAACAGTAGTCTACAGGCTCAATGTTACTGCACTACTCCTTAAAGATATTTTGAAAAAGTTCTCAGCTTTTTTACACATTTGACCCTGTGATCAAGAAAGTAGGTCAAGTTCAGACAAACTTGATAGGTCTTCACAACAACACAAGTTACAGGCTTCATATGTGTCACTCTTAACCATATGGACCTTTTAGATATTGTTTAAAGATTTTAACACATTTATCCCTTGTGACCTTGAAAGTGGTTATTTATTGGAACACAGCACTTAGCAGGCTCTATTCTAACTTACTGATTTTTTCTCTCTCTAGGCCTTTTGGACAGACAGGGGTACATTCTTTATTTCTTCTCTATACAAGGGATTATAAATATTTAAACAAATTTCAACATTTGCAACACTTAGTGAAAATTTAGAGAGCAGAGTTCATATTGCTCTAGAACATTTTAACATACTTGATCCATGCCCTTGAAAGTGATTTTACACGATTCATTCCAACAAATTTATAGCCCTTTATCCCAGCATCCTACTTATAAAATATCACGATGATAGACCTCTTCTTTATTCTGAAGAAGATATTTAAATACTGTAAGCACATTTTACCCATTTGACCTGAAACATTTATCAGGGTACCCAGTAATATCTGTGTGTAAACCTTGTAGTGCTCAATGCCAGCAAGCTAATGGCCGACTATCAGGGCTCTTTGCCTTTTGGTCCCTAATAAGAAGTCACCTGGAATTGTAGGTTCTTTTTACATATTTGAACCCTGTAGTCTGGAATGTATATCAAGGTCGTTACAGATTTTATTTTGCAATCTTTGTAGCACAAGCTTCCGGCAACCATGTCTCTAGATGTTTGGTTCATCAGGGCGGTCCTTTGTTAACGTATATGTCCTCAGTGGACTTGAAAGAAGGCTGAAGTCATTTTTTATTTTTGCAAAATTATAAAGATGCATCCCCGGAAGCTACTAGACAAATATAATGACCTATGCCTTGTGGTTCGTAAGAAGAAGTTGTTTAAAGAAATATTTGTCTGATGATTCAACCCATTAACTCACATGTGCTTTGTGCCATATGAGATAACTTGGCAAGTTCAAATCTGACAACTGCTTCATTAGATGTCATTTCGAAACCACCATCAAATAAGTTTGCTGCCGCCTAATTGTATAATTGTGAATTTTGCTGTGTGTCAAATTTGATCCAGTTCCTTTGGTAAAATGTATAACAGGCAAGTTTCATGAAAATCTTATATTTCTTTTAAAAGATCTCATCTGTACCTGTAAAGTATATATGTGTATGTCAATAACATAGCAGTTGGGTATGACCTGTATAAATTGGTGCTGATCTAATCTGATCCCTGTCTTTAGTGGGTTTGATATATGATCCTGGCATTTCCTCTTTTAAATCATAGCTATCTACCCTGTCTAACCTAGACCCATTCTATTCTGGAAACTGACCTTTCACTTTTTCTGGTTGTCTGTCCCTGTTAAAGTGTTTTTTCTGGACATAAAATAAACAAACTGTTGGTTATCAATTTAAATTATTGTAAATATGTAACGAAACATTGATATTAAATATTTTCTTCATATTTTGTTATGGACATATTTGTATGAAATATGAGGTGGCCATTAGCAGCCATATAAAATTTAAAATTTAAAGCAAAATCAAAGCGTGGAGAAATTGATATGATATTATAGCTGTTTGTGGTAAGTTTCATGAAAATCAAAGCTTTCCTTTAAAAGTTATAACACAGAAACTAATTTAGTTGCTAAAATCAAAGATGATTGCTGGTGGCCATATTTAATTTTGATATTCAACCCAAAATCATATTTGAGTGGATAATTGATACAATAAGTATTTGAAAAGAGTTTCTTGAAAAACAGAGGATTGTTTAATGAGTTGTTGAATGGAACCCACTTTAAGTACCCAAACCCAAGCGGCCATATTTAATAGCAGATCCATTTCAAATAAATCTTGTTGATGTAACAGATACTGCGAGTTTTTGTAGAAAGTTGTATGAAACTCGAAGCTTTCCTTTGAGACTTATTGCACAGATACATGACACTTGCTACGGCAACGGAGTGATCTTTATGCTACCTTCACATTTACACGCATCACAAGAACTATAATACTCCAGTTCAATAGAAACCCTATTATATTTCAGTTCACTGAGTTGCCTTCAGGAAAACTTCTTTCTTTATTCTCAATATGGACAGTGTAAAAAATAATGCCTTAACACCAAATTTACTGATTTTTGTTTAATTGCAAGATGCCTAATTCAATTAAAATATTCCGTCAGTGTATTGTGCCATAGTTGTTTCCATGGTAACACATTCCTGACCTATCCTGTCACTGTACCAGATCAACACAAGTCGGCTGTACAGACTTCGGTGGCTGTCACGTTTCTGTCAACACTAGTGCTATCAGCTGTCTTCAAGGGAAGCGGGCCAGTCCAGTAATACAGACTAAATTAAAAATAAGAGAGAGTATTGTATTGGAGTAGGTAAATCACAGTAACTAAACATGTGATATAACATTTAATGCAGAAATACACATCTTGCAAAATTTATAATACTCACACTATTCAAGTTATAAGCTTAGGGCTTCATTTTTTCTTTCTTTTCTTGGTAGCATACATCCTGAACTCCTACATAAATTACAGGTATAATGTGTAAGGTAGCATACATCCTTAACTCTAACACAAATTACAGGTATATTGTGTAAGGTAGCATACATAAATTACAGGTATTATGTAATTAGGTAACATGTCCCTGAGACAGGTGTGACTACTTACTAGCACATCTAGCTGAAAGATGTCACATTCCACCCCTGTCAATGTGCTCATGTTTGGTGTGGTCCGGCCGAAGTCCCCATGAACAAACTCTTTTATATACCTGTCACTGTCAAGGGTTCAACTTTCAAACTTTTTCATCAATCACACTGTAAAACTCACGACTGACAAGTGATTTAAAATAAAACTCACGACTGACTAGTGACTTAAAATAAGACAAGACAAGAAATAGAAGTAGACAGATATTGACACAAAACATTTATAAAGGGATATATGACAACAACACTGACTCTTGATCTCTGAGCTACAATAGATGATTCAGTACATTGAATTAGTGTTTATAAGATGTTTATTCTTAAATTAGAATGAAGTGATACATGTATTTCTAGTAAAACAAATTGTGGATATTGATTTCTCCCGCCCTTTACAGGCGTGTCTCCCGCCCTTCACAGGTGTGTCTCCCGTTTAAGCCGGGAAAGATCCGCTTGTCAACCCCTAGGGGGAGATAGCCTTGTGCTGATTAGCACATGTTCAATTGTGACTTCATTAAAATGTGTCACTGGTATTTGTGACGCCATCAAAAGTGAATGACGATATTCATACCCCACATGTGTTTTTGTTTACAAACTTGGTAGATTATTGTTGGTGGAGGTGTGACTAAAATAATAAGATGGGAGAAAAATAATCATCCCCTACCTTGAGGGTGTAACAAAGAAATCTCCAACCCTCGGAGTGATTTTTGTTGGTTGTCTAAGAGCCTCGGGTTAAACAACCCAAAAAATCACCCCGAGGGTAGGAGATTTCTGTCACACCCTCAAGGTAGGGGAAGATTCTATTAATCATCACAAATATAGATACCCGTAATATTTTCTTAGTAATTTACAACATGAAATCAACAAAATAGTATTCTATAGGGTGTTTGTGAACAATACCCACTGCTCTGTAAGCATGAAGTTTTGTTGAGAAAGCACAGTAGTGTAAATCATCCACTGACATAAACACAAAATGGTGTCAATGTCATGTCTTGTTTTTATGTTAGCAACAAATAAATGTTGATGTTTGTCTACTAGCAATGATATTCATAAATAAAATATCAACAAAATAAAAAAACAAAGAAAGTCAGTGATAAAAGACACAGATAATATTATGATGACAGAGAGAAACTCGTCAAGGATAGCGAGAAACTCGTCAAGGATAGCGAGAAACTCGTCAAGGACAGAGAGACACTCGTCAAGGATAGAGAGAAACTCGTCAAGGATAGCGAGTAACTCGTCAAGGATAGAGAGACACTCGTCAAGGACATAGAGAAACTCATCAAGGACAGAGAGAAACTTGTCAAAGATAGAGAGAAAGTTGTCAAGGATAAAGAGAAACTCGTCAAGGACAGAGAGACACTTGTCAAGGATAGAGAGACAGTTGTCAAGGATAAAGAGAAACTCGTCAAGGACAGGAGTAACTCGTCAAGGATAGAGAGACACTCGTCAAGGATAAAGAGAAACTCGTCAAGGATAGCGAGTAACTCGTCAAGGATAGAGAGACACTCGTCAAGGATAGGATAGCAAGAAACTCATCAAGGATAGAGAGAAACTCGTCAAGGATAAAGAGAAACTCATCAAGGATAGAGAGAAGCTCGTCAAGGATAGCGAGAAACTCGTCAAGGATAGAGAGAAACTTGTCAAGGATAGGGAGAAACTCGTCAAGGATAGCGAGAAACTCGTCAAGGATAGAGAGAAACTCGTCAAGGATAGAGAGACAGTTGTCAAGGATAAAGAGAAAGTCGTCAAGGACAGAGAGAAACTCGTCAAGGACAGAGAGCAACTTGTCAAGGATAGAGAGAAAGTCGTCAAGGATAGAGAGAAACTCGTCAAGGATAGAGAGAAACTCGTCAAGGATAGAGAGAAACTTGTCAAGGACAGAGAGACACTCGTCAAGGACAGAGAGACACTCGTCAAGGACAGAGAGACACTTGTCAAGGATAGAGAGAAAGTCGTCAAGGACAGAGAGAAACTCGTCAAGGACAGAGAGAAACTTGTCAAGGATAGAGAGAAAGTCGTCAAGGATAGAGAGAAGCTCGTCAAGGATAGCGAGAAACTCGTCAAGGATAGAGAGAAACTTGTCAAGGATAGCGAGAAAGTCGTCAAGGATAGCGAGAAAGTCGTCAAGGATAGAGAGAAACTCGTCAAGGATAGAGAGACACTTGTCAAGGATAAAGAAAAAGTCGTCAAGGACAGAGAGACACTTGTCAAGGACAGAGAGACACTTGTCAAGGATAGAGAGACACTTGTCAAGGATAGAGAGACACTCTTCAAGGATAGAGAGTAACTCGTCAAGGATACGTTCCCGCTTGTGTTTCAAGGTTTAGTTTGAAGTGGTGGTCATCGATTCTCTCAGCAGACATTGTGTACACAGTTCTCTCCCTTGTGGCCAATGGACGTCTGACAAGGAAAAGAAAACAAGACTGACATCTGTATAACATGAAACTGTTTAAGTGTATTAGCCCACATTCAGGGTATTTGTGGTTATGGGGTGAAACCATTAACATTATATGTACAGTGAATACATGATTAGGTTCACATCATAACATGTATCATTTGTAACTTTGTCAGTACAGTATTACCTCATCACATACTAAAATGATCGTATCATTTGTAACTTTGTCACTACAGTATTACCTCATCACATGCTAAAATGATCGTATCATTTGTAACTTTGTCAGTACAGTATTACCTCATCACATACTAAAATGATCGTATCATTTGTAACTTTGTCACTACAGTAAAACCTCATCACATGCTAAAATGATCGTATCATTTGTAACTTTGTCAGTACAGTATTACCTCATCACATACTAAAATGATCGTATCATTTGTAACTTTGTCACTACAGTAAAACCTCATCACATGCTAAAATGATCGTATCATTTGTAACTTTGTCACTACAGTATTACCTCATCACATGCTAAAATGATCATGCAATAAAGTCCATCTAGCATGACATGACTTTAGGGTCGTGAGGAAAAACTGATTTATTCTGCATTTCTTTCTTCATGTTATTAGTGACAAAACATATGATTATACATGATCTTATGCTCTTTATATTTTATATTTTTGAATCAGGCTCAGTGTAGTTTGACTTGGTCTAGTTTACCTGTGTAGGACTCGTATCGGTGTTTTCTGATGTAACACAACATTCTGTAAACACAAACAAAATCATAAATATTCCTTTACAAACATCATACTGGGAAGGTTTCAAAATAGTTTTATTTTATAGGTCTTACATACAGACCTGGGAAGGTTTCAGAATGTCTTATTGTACATGTTTACATACAATTCCTGTATAGATTTCAGAATGTCTTATTGTACATTAACGTATTTACATACCATCCTTTAATAATAATTATCCTTCAATGATTTGGTTTGGTTTCATTGCATTTTACATCCTATTAACAGCTATGGTCATTTAAGGACGTGCCAGGTTTTGGTGGTGGAGGAAAGTCGGAGTTCCCGGAGAAAAAACACTGACCTACGGCCAGTACCTGGCGACTGCCCCACATAGGTCTCGAACCCGTGACCCAGTGGTAGCAGAATGTCAGACGCCTTAACCACTTGGCCACCGCGGCCCCTTCAATGAGACACACATCTACAACACACACACACATATGACACACATATCTGTAACACACAGCTATGAGACACACACACATATGTAACACACAACTATGAGACACACATATATGACACACATATCTGTAACACACAGCTTTGAGACACACACAAATCTGTAACACACAGCAATGAGACACAAATCTGTAACACACAACTATGAGACACATATCTGTAACACACAGTAATGAGACAAATACCGGTAACACACAACTATGAGACACATATCCGTAACACACAGCAATGAGACACATATCTGTAACACACAACAATGAGACACATATCGGTAACACACAACTAGGAGACACATATCGGTAACACACAGTAATGAGACACATATCTGTAACACACAGCAATGAGGCACGTATCGGTAACACACAACTATGAGACACATATTGGTAACACACAACTATGAGACACATATATGTAACACACAGCAATGAGACACATATCTGTAACACACAGTAATGACACACATATCCGTAACACACAACTATGAGACACATATCTGGAACACACAGCAATGAGACACGTATCGGTAACACACAACACACACATATCTGTAACACACAGCTTTGAGACACACACAAATCTGTAACCCACAGCAATGAGACACAAATCTGTAACCCACAACTATGAGACACATATCTGTAACACCCAGCAATGAGACACAAATCTGTAACACACAACTATGAGACACATATCCGTAACACACAGCAATGAGACACATATCGGTAACACACCACTATGAGACACATATCTGTAACACACAGCAATGAGGCACGTATCGGTAACACACAACTATGAGACACATATTGGTAACACACAACTATGAGACACATATTGGTAACACACAGTAATGAGACACATATCAGTAACACACAACTATGAGACACATATCCGTAACACACAGTAATGAGATACATATGTGTAACACACAGTAATGAGACACATATCTGTAACACACATTAATGAGACACATATCGGTAACACACAAATATGAGACACATATCTGTAACACACAACAATGAGACACATATCGGTAACACACAAATATGAGACACATATCTGTAACACACAACTATGAGACACATATCTGTAACACCCAGCAATGAGACACAAATCTGTAACACACAACTATGAGACACATATCCGTAACACACAGTAATGAGATACATATGTGTAACACACAGTAATGAGACACATATTTGTAACACACAGTAATGAGACACATATCTGTAACACACATTAATGAGACACATATCGGTAACACACAACTATGAGATACATATCGGTAACACACAACTATGAGACACATATATGTAACACACAGTAATGAGACACATATTTGTAACACACAGTAATGAGACACATATCAGTAACACACAACTATGAGACACATATCTGTAACACCCAGCAATGAGACACAAATCTGTAACACACAACTATGAGACACATATCTGCAACACACAGTAATGAGACACATATCGGTAACACAAAACTATGAGACACATATATGTAACACACAGCAATGAGACACATATCTGTAACACACAACAATGAGACACATATCGGTAACACACAACTATGAGACGCATATCTGTAACACACAGTAATGAGACGCATATCTGTAACACACAGTAATGAGACAAATACCGGTAACACACAACTATGAGACACATATCCGTAACACACAGCAATGAGACACATATCTGTAACACACAACAATGAGACACATATCGGTAACACACAAATATGAGACACATATCTGTAACACACAACTATGAGACACATATCTGTAACACACAGCAATGAGACACGTATCGGTAACACACAACTATGAGACACACTGCTATAACTTAAAGTCCTTACTGTCATAGAACTGATTTCCTCTAGTTTTTCCTGTGGTAACACTGCAGCACTCCAACAGAGGGCGGAGTACGTCTTCGTTTTCTCCATCTCTCCCTCCTTCAGGTTGTTCGTCGCTTCTCTTCAATATCAATCACACAAAACGTACAGTAGAACGGAGAAATACTTGTTCAATTTTTAATGAATGAGAGGATTAATTCAACATGAAAATATCATTTAGATATAATTCCTAGTACCTGGTAAATATTTGTTTTAGAAGGCCAGAGAATGAGTATATAATGAGGTAAACATAATTCCTACAGGATCGTAAAGGCAGTCCTAGCTCTGTAAACGAGGTGGTGGGACTATGACACAGGATCTGTAACAGTAAACTTACTTGGTAACGATTTGTAAGTGTCTCACTTGTACCTCAGAGGAAGCAGCATTTATCTCCTAAAAAGACAAAGAATTTTTAAATCACAAATTATTTTCTGAATTATGACTTTGTCTTTTCACATTTCAGTTCTAACTCGGAACAAATCTTATCTAGCTAATAAATTGCACTGATGTAATATCCTTTAAAACTTTACATCCTAAAACCTGTAAGTTGTATGCTCAAAATTAAAATTTGTGATTGTGGCAAGTACATGAAAATCAAACTTTGTTATTTTTGTTTTCTTGTTTATTGTTTTTTGTTTGAGGACATAATGTTTTTACTTCTTTCAGACAAAGGAACATGAGAAATATCAAAATATGGAATGTTTCAGCTACATTTTGTTAGATTTTTACACACTTAGGAATACATAATCAATGTTGCTATATAAATATTAAGTTGCAGTCAAACTTGAGTACTTGTTTGTAAGTTGCCATTATTTTGTACATACATGTACAACTATTTTCCAATAGAAAATAATTTACCTGGTATGTTTAATGATCATACATCTCCAACAGCACACATAAAGGCATACACACATAGGGAGATATTAGCCAGGTGGCATATGACTAGTAGTTAGCGCCTGATAAGGCAGCTCCTGCGAATTCCTCAATATTGTATTGATTAATATATATATGCTAATTGTATTGACTGTATAAAATTGTATATCTATGTACTGTAAAGCGCTTTAGAGTGGCTTATCTTAGCTAGATACGGCGCTATATCAAATGTTGTATATTTATTCATTTATAGTATACTCCATGCTGTCTATAACTGATCGTAGAAGTGATATTTTTGCGATTGGCTTATGTTAGTGCTCTTCCCACTTAAGATATGGCGCTTAATCATGACAGCACCATTTCTATATGTTTTCTAGTGTATATTTGGTAGGTGCACCACTTTATTAATGCACTAATCTGTTTAGATTTGCTAAAATGCTAAAATTTGATTGCGCTAAAGGGAGAACATTAACAGTATTTCGAGAGATTCAACACTGATGGCACACATTGCAGAGAGATAAACTGGTGCCACTACGACCAATGTTAGAACACTTGTAGGTGGAAGCTTTAGACAGTTGGTTGACCTGAATACTGTATTTACCTTTTGTATGTTTTTAACAGCTTCCTTGGAAAATGTCACTTTATGAGGATCCAACAACTCCACAACAAATGGTCGACCTGTCAGAAAAAAAAATTCATAATCTCTTTAAAAAGTGAACTTTCCTGAAAAATAAATAAAGGGAGACAACTGACTTCTGATAATGTTAGTGGGTTAGTAGCTTAACAGCTCAGCAACAGTGAAGTCCTATCGGGTCAGACAACAATGATACGGTCGTTTACAGACAGAACTCAATACACCAATAGGAAACTGAATGGCAAAAATGTTAAAATCTGTGTACAAACGAGCACAGCAAAATGCTAACATTATTGTAACAAGTGTTTTAAAATCCTAAATTTTATGGTATTGACCAATTTCACATATATATCGAAAAATATTTGTACAGAACAATGTATTCATATCAGCCACATCATGATGTTGTTCTTGAATCTGTCTAAAATCGGCACATTCAATCTATATGTGAGGCACAGTCATGTGTTTGTTAAATTAACAACAAAATAGCTGATCCTCTAGCCTGAATTATGTATTTGTGAAAATACTGAAGGCAGATGCAAGGCAGTATATCTACAACTGCAGAAAAAATAGGTTGCCTGTGTCTTTTTATTTACAGTTACTTTTACATCAAAATAAATGAATGGACTCAAGCAACTAATATAATGCACCCTTCTGTCTGATCTGACGTCACTGACCTGTGCCGAGCATGAGAACGTCAACATCTTCTCGTCCCGACGCTGAGAACTTGGAGTCTGTAAAAACAGCATACAGGGGTCAGTCATAATGGAGCATTGATTTATAACATTTCATGCTAATAAAATACTTGAATACCTTTATCCTTCAAATACATGTATCCCATTTTTTTGGGGGAAATGATCAACAGGGTTTACCTCTGAACATTGTTTTCTGTGTAACGTTTCTTTTACATGAAGATGTTTCCTTAAAAAAAAAACTTAAAAGTGAAATCTTAACCAAGAATTGCAAAAAATACCTGAGTGATTGAAATGTTTCTTTAGATGGTCACAAATCTTTTCCTCAACCGACGATTCACTCTTACGTTTCCCGTCCACAAACCACGGCGTCTGACTGAGGAAGCGATTGTACTTGTTATACCTACCTGTAAACATATCACAGTCATAGATATATCATGTGACTACTCTTCAGTGTATATATAGTACTCTCACACACACTTTCTCTACATACATTACATCATCAGTACAAATACAATGGTTTACCAGAAATCACCAGTTAATGGTAGGGTATTTCTACAATTTTCTACTTAACATGTCATTTTAAAATGTTCGTGAATATATGATGAAAAGAATTTCAAAGTGTTTGCCTTCCTTCTGATATTTATACAAGTATAAGATGCTTTTTTTCCAGATTTTTTTAATGTATAGATTTCTTTTTTTCTTTCTTTTTATAGAAAATATTACACTAAAAGGAAAATTCAATCAATACATGTTAAAAGAAGTATAAAGATATCATTCACAGACTGTTTCCCTGTTATAGATAACAGATCCTTGTACAGGCGTACATGAAGTTTGTACAGAAGACACTTACCGGCAATGTACAAAGGTTCCCGCGTACAGCGAATATCATCACACTCACAGATAACTTTAGGTATGGTAGGGGGGATCTGAAACGCCCTGTCAAAGGAATTATACTTCAATAATATCATCACACTCACAGATAACTTTAGGTATGGTAAGGGGGATCTGAAACGCCCTGTCAAAGGAATTATACTTCAATAATATCATCACACTCACAGATAACTTTAGGTATGGTAAGGGGGATCTGAAACGCCCTGTCAAAGGAATTATACTTCAATAATATCATCACACTCACAGATAACTTTAGGTATGGTAAGGGGGATCTGAAACGCCCTGTCAAAGGAATTATACTTCAATAATATCATCACACTCACAGATAACTTTAGGTATGGTAAGGGGGATCTGAAACGCCCTGTCAAAGGAATTATACTTCAATAATATCATCACACTCACAGATAACTTTAGGTATGGTAAGGGGGATCTGAAACGCCCTGTCAAAGGAATTATACTTCAATAATATCATCACACTCACAGATAACTTTAGGTATGGTAAGGGGGATCTGAAACGCCCTGTCAAAGGAATTATACTTCAATAATATCATCACACTCACAGATAACTTTAGGTATGGTAAGGGGGATCTGAAACGCCCTGTCAAAGGAATTATACTTCAATAATATCATCACACTCACAGATAACTTTAGGTATGGTAAGGGGGATCTGAAACGCCCTGTCAAAGGAATTATACTTCAATAATATCATCACACTCACAGATAACTTTAGGTATGGTAAGGGGGATCTGAAACGCCCTGTCAAAGGAATTATACTTCAATAATATCATCACACTCACAGATAACTTTAGGTATGGTAAGGGGGATCTGAAACGCCCTGTCAAAGGAATTATACTTCAATAATATCATCACACTCACAGATAACTTTAGGTATGGTAAGGGGGATCTGAAACGCCCTGTCAAAGGAATTATACTTCAATAATATCATCACACTCACAGATAACTTTAGGTATGGTAAGGGGGATCTGAAACGCCCTGTCAAAGGAATTATACTTCAATAATATCATCACACTCACAGATAACTTTAGGTATGGTAAGGGGGATCTGAAACGCCCTGTCAAAGGAATTATACTTCAATAATATCATCACACTCACAGATAACTTTAGGTATGGTAAGGGGGATCTGAAACGCCCTGTCAAAGGAATTATACTTCAATAATATCATCACACTCACAGATAACTTTAGGTATGGTAAGGGGGATCTGAAACGCCCTGTCAAAGGAATTATACTTCAATAATATCATCACACTCACAGATAACTTTAGGTATGGTAAGGGGGATCTGAAACGCCCTGTCAAAGGAATTATACTTCAATAATATCATCACACTCACAGATAACTTTAGGTATGGTAAGGGGGATCTGAAACGCCCTGTCAAAGGAATTATACTTCAATAATATCATCACACTCACAGATAACTTTAGGTATGGTAAGGGGGATCTGAAACGCCCTGTCAAAGGAATTATACTTCAATAATATCATCACACTCACAGATAACTTTAGGTATGGTAAGGGGGATCTGAAACGCCCTGTCAAAGGAATTATACTTCAATAATATCATCACACTCACAGATAACTTTAGGTATGGTAAGGGGGATCTGAAACGCCCTGTCAAAGGAATTATACTTCAATAATATCATCACACTCACAGATAACTTTAGGTATGGTAAGGGGGATCTGAAACGCCCTGTCAAAGGAATTATACTTCAATAATATCATCACACTCACAGATAACTTTAGGTATGGTAAGGGGGATCTGAAACGCCCTGTCAAAGGAATTATACTTCAATAATATCATCACACTCACAGATAACTTTAGGTATGGTAAGGGGGATCTGAAACGCCCTGTCAAAGGAATTATACTTCAATAATATCATCACACTCACAGATAACTTTAGGTATGGTAAGGGGGATCTGAAACGCCCTGTCAAAGGAATTATACTTCAATAATATCATCACACTCACAGATAACTTTAGGTATGGTAAGGGGGATCTGAAACGCCCTGTCAAAGGAATTATACTTCAATAATATCATCACACTCACAGATAACTTTAGGTATGGTAAGGGGGATCTGAAACGCCCTGTCAAAGGAATTATACTTCAATAATATCATCACACTCACAGATAACTTTAGGTATGGTAAGGGGGATCTGAAACGCCCTGTCAAAGGAATTATACTTCAATAATATCATCACACTCACAGATAACTTTAGGTATGGTAAGGGGGATCTGAAACGCCCTGTCAAAGGAATTATACTTCAATAATATCATCACACTCACAGATAACTTTAGGTATGGTAAGGGGGATCTGAAACGCCCTGTCAAAGGAATTATACTTCAATAATATCATCACACTCACAGATAACTTTAGGTATGGTAAGGGGGATCTGAAACGCCCTGTCAAAGGAATTATACTTCAATAATATCATCACACTCACAGATAACTTTAGGTATGGTAAGGGGGATCTGAAACGCCCTGTCAAAGGAATTATACTTCAATAATATCATCACACTCACAGATAACTTTAGGTATGGTAAGGGGGATCTGAAACGCCCTGTCAAAGGAATTATACTTCAATAATATCATCACACTCACAGATAACTTTAGGTATGGTAAGGGGGATCTGAAACGCCCTGTCAAAGGAATTATACTTCAATAATATCATCACACTCACAGATAACTTTAGGTATGGTAAGGGGGATCTGAAACGCCCTGTCAAAGGAATTATACTTCAATAATATCATCACACTCACAGATAACTTTAGGTATGGTAAGGGGGATCTGAAACGCCCTGTCAAAGGAATTATACTTCAATAATATCATCACACTCACAGATAACTTTAGGTATGGTAAGGGGGATCTGAAACGCCCTGTCAAAGGAATTATACTTCAATAATATCATCACACTCACAGATAACTTTAGGTATGGTAAGGGGGATCTGAAACGCCCTGTCAAAGGAATTATACTTCAATAATATCATCACACTCACAGATAACTTTAGGTATGGTAAGGGGGATCTGAAACGCCCTGTCAAAGGAATTATACTTCAATAATATCATCACACTCACAGATAACTTTAGGTATGGTAAGGGGGATCTGAAACGCCCTGTCAAAGGAATTATACTTCAATAATATCATCACACTCACAGATAACTTTAGGTATGGTAAGGGGGATCTGAAACGCCCTGTCAAAGGAATTATACTTCAATAATATCATCACACTCACAGATAACTTTAGGTATGGTAAGGGGGATCTGAAACGCCCTGTCAAAGGAATTATACTTCAATAATATCATCACACTCACAGATAACTTTAGGTATGGTAAGGGGGATCTGAAACGCCCTGTCAAAGGAATTATACTTCAATAATATCATCACACTCACAGATAACTTTAGGTATGGTAAGGGGGATCTGAAACGCCCTGTCAAAGGAATTATACTTCAATAATATCATCACACTCACAGATAACTTTAGGTATGGTAAGGGGGATCTGAAACGCCCTGTCAAAGGAATTATACTTCAATAATATCATCACACTCACAGATAACTTTAGGTATGGTAAGGGGGATCTGAAACGCCCTGTCAAAGGAATTATACTTCAATAATATCATCACACTCACAGATAACTTTAGGTATGGTAAGGGGGATCTGAAACGCCCTGTCAAAGGAATTATACTTCAATAATATCATCACACTCACAGATAACTTTAGGTATGGTAAGGGGGATCTGAAACGCCCTGTCAAAGGAATTATACTTCAATAATATCATCACACTCACAGATAACTTTAGGTATGGTAAGGGGGATCTGAAACGCCCTGTCAAAGGAATTATACTTCAATAATATCATCACACTCACAGATAACTTTAGGTATGGTAAGGGGGATCTGAAACGCCCTGTCAAAGGAATTATACTTCAATAATATCATCACACTCACAGATAACTTTAGGTATGGTAAGGGGGATCTGAAACGCCCTGTCAAAGGAATTATACTTCAATAATATCATCACACTCACAGATAACTTTAGGTATGGTAAGGGGGATCTGAAACGCCCTGTCAAAGGAATTATACTTCAATAATATCATCACACTCACAGATAACTTTAGGTATGGTAAGGGGGATCTGAAACGCCCTGTCAAAGGAATTATACTTCAATAATATCATCACACTCACAGATAACTTTAGGTATGGTAAGGGGGATCTGAAACGCCCTGTCAAAGGAATTATACTTCAATAATATCATCACACTCACAGATAACTTTAGGTATGGTAAGGGGGATCTGAAACGCCCTGTCAAAGGAATTATACTTCAATAATATCATCACACTCACAGATAACTTTAGGTATGGTAAGGGGGATCTGAAACGCCCTGTCAAAGGAATTATACTTCAATAATATCATCACACTCACAGATAACTTTAGGTATGGTAAGGGGGATCTGAAACGCCCTGTCAAAGGAATTATACTTCAATAATATCATCACACTCACAGATAACTTTAGGTATGGTAAGGGGGATCTGAAACGCCCTGTCAAAGGAATTATACTTCAATAATATCATCACACTCACAGATAACTTTAGGTATGGTAAGGGGGATCTGAAACGCCCTGTCAAAGGAATTATACTTCAATAATATCATCACACTCACAGATAACTTTAGGTATGGTAAGGGGGATCTGAAACGCCCTGTCAAAGGAATCATACTTCAATAATACCATCACACTCACAGATAACTTTAGGTATGGTAGTGGGATCTGAAACGCCCTGTCAAAGGAATTATACTTCAATAATATCATCACACTCACAGATAACTTTAGGTATGGCAGGGGGGATCTGAAACGCCCTGTCAAAGGAATTATACTTCAGTCAACATTTCTGATTATTGGTATTACTAGCTGTAATCACAGGAGATTCTAATTTTCGTTTTGCTCCATTTTTTATTTAATTGGGATACATACTTAGCCAGTACATTGTATCTGTTACACGTGTGAATGGAGATATCTCCCAATAAGTTAGAAATGTAAGCCAAAGGCCGAGGCAAATAATCCCAGTTATTAGATATGTTTGCTTTACCTTAATAGCTCTTACTTATCCAGTGTAAATCTCTCACTATAATGTAATACATGTATATCACAAAACCCAACTCTACTATTTAATGACATGGGTTTCAAGCAACCTGTTATGTCTGTGTATAGCTCTACTGCAGCAGTAGAACCAGCATACACAAATACAGCTGTAGGAATCGCAGCTCAAGGTCCAATCAATTTTTTTATTTAGAAATTTTAGATTACCAGACCATCTATGACTTTTATGGATGGTTCAATAATGATATATAAAAAATAATCAAGTTGATCGGACCTTCAGCTATGGTTCCCACACGTACAGCTAACTCAAATAAGTTGACGCGCTGATCAAATCATCAACATGAAGTGAGGCTGAGACACGTAAAGGACTAACCTTCTGAGCCGCTGGTCTGACATTTCCTTTAGTGCCTTGCCCACATTAGCCCTGTTAAACAGCTCCCCCTGGCCCTGAAACAAACCAGTCAGAAATGAATACAAACAACTCAACATTAATCTCCATAATACTACCATTTTTTGTTTCTGAAGAAGTGAAAGTGTGACACCGTCATCACACATACATGGAAAAAAATTATGAAATCATTCTGATGTAAGGACTCCGATAAACATTACAATGAGTTTTTAATGTGTGACCCCTAGCTGTGATCTTGAAATCTGACCCCTAGCTGTAACCTTGGATCTTTTACCCCTAGCTGTGAACTTGGACTTTTGAACCTGTAAGAGGTATGTGACACCACCTTATTGCATATTCAATAGTGTTGCAGGAAACAGTGAGATGTTTAAAAAATGGACCTCTAGATGTGATCTTAGATTTCGGTATTTTAACCTGACAATAGCATGCGACACTAGTCATCACATAACCAATCAACTTACAATCAATGAAGTATCTGTTGTTCAAGACTAATCTCAAGAAAAGCGTTACTCTTGTTGTATCCTTGACCTCACCTGGTGACCCTGAGTTGGAGCTATAAACACACATTATACTTCCTCACCATGTGACCCTGTGTTGGAGCTACAGAAACACACATTATACTTCCTCTACATGTGACCCTGAGCTGGAGCTACAAACACACATTATACTTCCTCACCATGTGACCCTGCGTTGGAGCTACAAACACACACATTATACTTCCTGAACATGTGACCCTGAGTTGGAGCTACAAACACACATTATACTTCCTCACCATGTGACCCTGAACTGGAGCTACAAACACACACATTATACTTCCTCTCCATGTGATCCTGAGTTGGAGCTACAAACACACGCATTATACTTCCTCACCATGTGACCCTGAGTTGAAGCTACAAACACACACATTATACTTCCTCACCAGGTGACCCTGAGTTGGAGCTACAAACACACACATTATACTTCCTGAACATGTGACCCTGAGTTGGAGCTACAAACACACATTATGCTTCCTCACCATGTGACCCTGTGTTGGAGCTACAAACACACACATTATCCTCCCTCACCATGTGATCCTGAGTTGGAGCTACAAACCCACGCATTATACTTCCTCACCGTGTGACCCTGAGTTGGAGCTACAAACACACACATTATACTTCCTCCCCATGTGACCCTGAGTTGGAGCTACAAACATACACATTATACTTCCTCACCATGTGACCCTGAGTTGAAGCTACAAACACACACATTATACTTCCTCACCAGGTGACCCTGAGTTGGAGCTACAAACACACACATTATACTCCCTCACCATGTGACCCTGAGCTGGAGCTACAAACACACATTATACTTCCTCACCATGTGACACTGAGCTGGAGCTACAAACACACACATTATACTTCCTCTCCATGTGACCCTGAGCTGGAGCTACAAACACACATTATACTTCCTCACCATGTGACACTGAGCTGGAGCTACAAACACACACATTATACTTCCTCTGGAGCTACAAACACACACATTATACTTCCTCTCTATGTGATCCTGAGTTGGAGCTACAAACACACGCATTATACTTCCTCACCATGTGACCCTGAGTTGAAGCTACAAACACACACATTATACTTCCTCACCAGGTGACCCTGAGTTGGAGCTACAAACACACACATTATACTTCCTGAACATGTGACCCTGAGTTGGAGCTACAAACACACATTATACTTCCTCACCATGTGACACTGAGCTGGAGCTACAAACACACACATTATACTTCCTCACCATGTGATCCTGAGTTGGAGCTACAAACACACGCATTATACTTCCTCACCGTGTGACCCTGAGTTGGAGCTACAAACACACACATTATACTTCCTCTGGAGCTACAAACACTCACATTATCCTTCCTCACCGTGTGCCCCTGAGTTGGAGCTACAACCACACACATTATACTCCCTCACCATGTGACCTGAGTTGGAGCTACGAACACACACATTATACGTCCTCACCATGTGACCGTGAGTTGGAGCTACAACCACACACATTATACTTCATCACCGTGTGACCCTGAGTTGGCGCTACAAACACACACATTATATTTCCTCACCATGTGAGCCTGAGTTGGAGCTACAACCACACACATTATACTTCGTCACCATGTGACCCTGTGTTGGAGCTACAGAAACACACATTATACTTCATCACCGTGTGACCCTGTGTTGGAGCTACAAAAACACACACATTATACTTCCTCACCATGTGACCCTGAGTTGGAGCTTCAAACACACACATTATACTTCCTCACCATGTGACCCTGTGTCGGAGCTACAAAAACACACACATTATACTTCCTCACCATGTGACCCTGTGTTTGAGCTACAAACGCACACATTATACTTCCTCACTGTGTGACCCTGAGTTGGAGCTACAAACACACACATTATACTTCCTCACTGTGTGACCCTGAGTTGGAGCTACAAACACACACATTATACTTCCTCTCCATGTGACCCTGTGTTGGAGCTACAAACACAAACATTATACTTCCTCACCTGGTGACCCTGAGTTAGAGCTACAAACACACACATTATACTTCCTCTCCATGTGACCCTGTGTTGGAGCTACAAACCCACATTATACTTCCTCACCATGTGACCCGGTGTTTGAGCTACAAACGCACACATTATACTCCCTCACTGTGTGACCCTGAGTTGGAGCTACAAACACACACATTATACTTCCTCACCTGGTGACCCTGTGTTGGAGCTACAAACACACACATTATACTTCCTCACCTGGTGACCCTGTGTTGGAGCTACAAACACACACATTATACTTCCTCACCATGTACATTATACTTCCTCACCATGTGACCCTGTGTTGGAGCTACAAACACACACATTATACTTCCTCACCATGTACATTATACTTCCTCACCATGTGACCCTGTGTTGGAGCTACAAACACAAACATTATACTTCCTCACCTGGTGACCCTGTGTTGGTGCTACAAACACACACATTATACTTCCTCACCTGGTGACCCTGTGTTGGAGCTTCAAACACACACATTATACTTCCTCACCATGTGTCCCTGAGCTGGACCTACAAACACTCACATTATACTTCCTCACCATGTGACCCTGAAATGGAGCTACAAACACACACATTATACTTCCTCACCTGGTGACCCTGTGTTGGTGCTACAAACACACACATTATACTTCCTCACCTGGTGACCCTGTGTTGGAGCTTCAAACACACACATTATACTTCCTCACCATGTGACCGTGAGTTGGAGCTACAAACACACACATTATACTCCCTCACCATGTAACACACACATTATACTTCCTCACCATGTGACCCTGAGCTGGACCTACAAACACTCACATTATACTTCCTCACCATGTGACCCTGAAATGGAGCTACAAACACACACATTATACTTCCTCTGGAGCTACAAACACACACATTATACTTCCTCACCTGGTGACCCTGTGTTGGTGCTACAAACACACACATTATACTTCCTCACCATGTGTCCCTGAGCTGGACCTACAAACACTCACATTATACTTCCTCACCATGTGACCCTGAGTTGGACCTACAAACACACACATTATCCTTCCTCACCATGTGACCCTGAGTTGGAGCTACAAACACACATTATACTTCCTCACCATGTGACCCTGTGTTGGAGCTACAAACACAAACATTATACTTCCTCACCTGGTGACCCTGTGTTGGTGCTACAAACACACACATTATACTTCCTCACCATGTGACCCTGAGTTGGAGCTACAAACACTCACATTATACTCCCTCACCATGTGACCCTGAGCTGGAGCTACAAACACACACATTATTCCTCACCATGTGACCCTGAGTTGGAGCTACAAACAAAAATTATACTTCATCACCATGTGACCCTGAGTTGGAGCTACAAACAAAAATTATACTTCATCACCATGTGACCCTGAGTTGGAGCTACAAACACTCACATTATACTCCCTCACCATGTGACCCTGAGCTGGAGCTACAAACACACACATTATTCCTCACCATGTGACCCTGAGTTGGAGCTACAAACATACACATTATACTTCCTCACCATGTGACCCTGAAATGGAGCTACAAACACACACATTATACTTCCTCTGGAGCTACAAACACACACATTATACTTCCTCACCTGGTGACCCTGAGTTGGAGCTACAAACACACACATTATACTCCCTCACCATGTGACCCTGAGCTGGACCTACAAACACACACATTATACTTCCTCACCATGTGACCTTGAGTTGGAGCTACAAACACACACATTATACTTCCTCTGGAGCTACAAACACACACATTATACTTCCTCTGGAGCTACAAACACACACATTATACTTCCTCTGGAGCTACAAACACACACATTATACTTCCTCTGGAGCTACAAACACACACATTATACTTCCTCACCATGTGACCTTGAGTTGGAGCTACAAACACACACATTATACTTCCTCTGGAGCTACAAACACACACATTATACTTCCTCTGGAGCTACAAACACACACATTATACTTCCTCTGGAGCTACAAACACACACATTATACTTCCTCACCATGTACATTATACTTCCTCACCATGTGACCCTGTGTTGGAGCTACAAACACACACATTATACTCCCTCACCATGTAACACACACATTATACTTCCTCACCATGTGACCCTGAGCTGGACCTACAAACACACATTATACTTCCTATGATGCAGCTTCATCTGAAAGATCCTTCTGCCTGACATGTATTACATGATTTGACCTTTGACCTAAAGCAGTGAACTTGACCTTTGGCGTATATTGAACAAGGGGTTTGTATACACGTATATGAGATACCAGGGTAACACTTTGTCATCATTAACATAAGTATGTATTCAAAGGCTATTTTTGTGTGATCCTGAAGATAAACAAGATAAAATTATACCTGAATTAGTAAACACCAGGATAATTCACATTACACTCGTCAGATTTACTGTTCAGTCGAATGTGATCTTGAAAGCACCAAAAAGTATTCCAGAAATCAGTTTAATATTGACTTTAAAATAACTCACCCTCTTGAACTTTCTCCTTTTAAACACATCTGGTTGGTAATCGAGACTGGAAATATGAATATTAGAGTACTTAATAAACCCTATATAGTTGTAAGTTACTTAATAAACCCTCTATAGTTGTAAGTTGCTTAATAAACCCTATATAGTTGTAAGTTACAACCCTATATAGTTGTAAGTTATTTAATGAACCCTATATAGTTGTAAGTTACTTAATAACCCCTATACAGTTGTAAGTTACTTAATAAACCCTATATCGTTGTAAGTTACTTAATAAACCCTATACAGTTGTAAGTTACTTAATAAACCCTATATCGTTGTAAGTTACTTAATAAACCCTATATAGTTGCAAGTTACTTAATAAACCCTATATAGTTGTAAGTACTTAATAAACCCTATACAGTTGTACGTTTCTTAATAAACCATATCTAGTTGTAAGTTATTTAATAAACCCTATATAGTTGTAAGTTACAAACCTATATAGCTGTAAGTTACTTAATAAACCCTATATAGTTGTACGTTGCTTAAAAAAAACCTATACAGTTGTAAGTTACTTAATAAACCCTATACAGTTGTACGTTACTTAATAAACCATATCTAGTTGTAAGTTATTTAATAAACCCTATATAGTTGTAAGTTACTTAATAAACCATATCTAGTTGTAAGTTATTTAATAAACCCTATACAGTTGTAAGTTACTTAACAAACCCTATATAGTTGTAAGTTACTTAATAATCCCTATACAGTTGTAAGTTACTTTGACAGTATTGACTTAACAAACCCTATATAGTTGTAAGTTACTTAATAACCCCTATACAGTTGTAAGTTACTTAATAAATCCTATATAGTAGTAAGTTACTTAATAAACCCTATATAGTTGCAAGTTACTTAATAAACCCTATATAGTTGTAAGTTCCAACCCTATATAGTTGTAAGTTATTTAATAAACCCTATACAGTTGTAAGTTACTTTGACAGTATTGACTTAACAAACCCTATATAGTTGTAAGTTACTTAATAAACCCTATACAGTTGTACGTTACTTAATAAACCATATCTAGTTGTAAGTTATTTAATAAACCCTATACAGTTGTAAGTTATTTAATAAACCCTATACAGTTGTAAGTTACTTAACAAACCCTATATAGTTGAAAGTTACTTAATAAACCCTATACAGTTGTACGTTACTTAATAAACCATATCTAGTTGTAAGTTATTTAATAAACCCTATACAGTTGTAAGTTATTTAATAAACCCTATACAGTTGTAAGTTACTTTGACAGTATTGACCTCTAAGTGTCTGCTCATCAAATCTGTACATAATAAACCCTATATAGTTGTAAGTTACTTAATAAACCATATCTAGTTGTAAGTTATTTAATAAACCCTATATAGTTGTAAGGTACTTAATAAACCCTATACAGTTGTAAGTTACTTAATAAATCCTATATAGTAGTAAGTTACTTAATAAACCCTATATAGTTGCAAGTTACTTAATAAACCCTATATAGTTGTACGTTGCTTAAAAAAAACCTATACAGTTGTAAGTTACTTAATAAACCCTATATCGTTGTAAGTTACTTAATAAACCCTATATAGTTGCAAGTTACTTAATAAACCCTATATAGTTGTACGTTACTTAATAAACCATATCTAGTTGTAAGTTATTTAATAAACCCTATATAGTTGTAAGTTACTTAATAAACCCTATACAGTTGTAAGTTACTTTGACAGTATTGACCTCTAAGTGTCTGCTCATCAAATCTGTACATCTTGTCCAACTATGTCTTTTCATTTTACAAGTGTCTATTTTTGTTTAAAAAAATTGAAGACAATGCATTTAGAAATAATTATACCGAGGAGTCACTACTTATAATCCAGTCACCAAGTTAATTAACAGCAAACATAGCTGAATTGTTAGATGGTCCAATTACTGGAAAAATGGTGTATAAAGAGCAGTCAATCTGTCCCCTAAACCACTGGGTGGTGGTAGTGGTGGTAGTGGAGGTAGCGGTGGAAGTGGTGGTAGTGGTGGTAGTGGTGGTATAGGGGGTAGTGGTGGTAGTGGTGGTATAGGGGGTAGTGGTGGTAGTTGTGGTAGTGGTGGTATAGGGGGTAGTGGTGGTAGTTGTGGTAGTGGTGGTATAGGGGGTAGTGGTGGTATAGGGGTAGTGGTGGTATAAGGGGTAGTGGTGGTATAGGGGGTAGTGGTGGTAGTTGTGGTAGTGGTGGTGTAGGGGGTAGTGGTGGTATAGGGGTAGTGGTGGGATAAGGGGTAGTGGTGGTATAGGGGGTAGTGGTGGTATAGGGGTAGTGGTGGTAGAAGGGGTAGTGGTGGTATAGGGGGTAGTGGTGGTAGTTGTGGTAGTGGTGGTGTAGGGGGTAGTGGTGGTATAGGGGTAGTGGTGGTATAAGGGGTAGTGGTGGTATAGGGGGTAGTGGTGGTATAGGGGTAGTGGTGGGATAAGGGGTAGTGGTGGTATAGGGGGTAGTGGTGGTATAGGGGTAGTGGTGGGATAAGGGGTAGTGGTGGTATAGGGGGTAGTGGTGGTATAGGGGGTAGTGGTGGTATAGGGGTAGTGGTGGTAGAAGGGGTAGTGGTGGTATAGGGGGTAGTGGTGGTAGTGGGGGTATAAGGGGGTAGTGGTGGTATAGGGGGTAGTGGTGGTAGTGGTGGGATAGGGGGTAGTGGGGGTAGTTGTGGTAGTGGTGGTAGTGGTGGTAGTGGTGGTAGAGGGGGTAGTGGTGGTAGTGGTGGTAGTGGGGTTATAGGGGGTAGCGGTGGAAGTGGTGGTATAGGGGGTAGTGGTGGTAGTGGTGGTATAGGGGGTAGTGGTGGGATAGGGGTAGTGGTGGTATAAGGGGTAGTGGTGGTATAGGGGGTAGTGGTGGTAGTTGTGGTAGGGGTGGTAGAGGGGGTAGTGGTGGTAGTGGTGGTATAGGGGGTAGTGGTGGGATAGGGGTAGTGGTGGTATAAGGGGTAGTGGTGGTATAGGGGGTAGTGGTGGTATAGGGGTAGTGGTGGTATAGGGGGTAGTGGTGGTAGTTGTGGTATAGGGGGTAGTGGTGGTAGTTGTGGTATAGGGGGTAGTGGTGGTAGTTGTGGTATAGGGGGTAGTGGTGGTAGTTGTGGTATAGGGGGTAGTGGTGGTAGTTGTGGTAGTGGTGGTATAGGGGGTAGTGGTGGTAGTGGTGGGGGTATAGGGGGTAGTGGTGGTAGTGGTGGGGGTATAGGGGGTAGCGGTGGTAGTGGTGGTATAGGGGGTAGTGGTGGTAGTGGGGGTATAAGGGGGTAGTGGTGGTATAGGGGGTAGTGGTGGTAGTTGGGGTATAGGATAGTATGTAAGTCATACTTACAACATCTCACACTCCTTAAATGTCCTCGGGTAATTGAACATTAAAGCAATATCAAAATTACTCTGAAAAGTAAGAAATATAATGTTTGATAGTGCTGTAAATGTACCTATTAAAGCAGCATTCTAATTTCATAAAGTTTTTAATTGCATATAATGAGTGCACCAATTCATCAATATACTAATATGTTAAAATAAGTACTCCTACAGTAAGAATCACAAAATTTTCATCGGTTAAAGTCAAACATCAGAGGTTTAGTCACTTCTGCAATTAAAGATCACAATTTTTTTACATTTCATTATAATAAAGCAATATATATATATATACATCATAAAAAAATGTATCTCAACAACGAGTCTTTAGTACTTTCATCTCTTCTAGGAGATTCTTCTGAAGAATCTAGGAAAAGAATCTCCTAGAAGAGATGAAAGTACTAAAGACTCGTTGTAAGGATCATTTTTCTGATTTATAATATATGTATATATATATATAAAATAGAACAAAAGACAGAGATAGCGTCTCTAGGCCTTTCTCGGGTTGATTCCCCGTTCCTCAGGAGACTGTTTATTTTGAAAACAGGTATTGTGAGGTCATAGTTGATTACACAAGAAAGTATGACGTCATCAATAATGCAAAGTCATTATGACGTCACAGAAGACATAAATCCATGACGTCAACAACAATACAAGCTAAATTGTGACGTTACATTACTTAGACAAATGCATAACTTTATGATCTTACCAACAATAAAAAATACGGGAGATACAAATTGTTTCATTTAGGGCAACAATAAAATATGAACAATAATATTTAAAGCACAGCCATTGCTTAAAGCATGACACGTTGAATTTAATGTGAACTATTCAGACTGGGTTTCAACAGTTTCATTAACTCCGACTCCTTAACTTCCCTCTTTATCACATCAGATGAATGCATTTGGTAAATAGGGAACACTTTGAAGTTATTGTTAGCACAGTTATGAATATGTTTGTTCACTTGTAAAAATCTAAGGTCATCATGGATTGTTTGTTGCTTGTGAAGAGTCATTCTTTGACGTAGTTCACGCCCAGTTTGGCCAATATAAAATTCCAAACATTTAACACACACTATAGCATATATAACATTCTTCGACTTACAATTCATACTAGAACGTACAGTGAATTTAAATCCATTTTTGAAAACAAAAGTAGAACCTTCAATAATTATTTTACATGTTCCACATCTGGGCGAATTACATTTAGACACAATAAGTTCAGCTTGATTCGTTTCAAACTTGGAAAAACTCAATAGCCTTTTGAGATTTTTGGGTTGTCTTTTACTATTGATAATTCTATGTTTAGCTAAAACATTTTTCATACGCACGCTAGTTCTCTGCAAGTCATCGATTTTGGTTTTTACAATAGGGTACATAGCAAAATTATGTGGATTGTATGTAGATACAAAAGGAATAATTCCTTGGTCATCGTTGGCTTCTACACGGGATGTAAAAGGTCCCTTCTCTATAGCTCTATTTACACCACTACGAATAATCTCGTCCGGATAATGCTGCGACTTCAGGAAAAACATGAGTTCTTTAAGTCGCACATCCAGCATATTGGGGTCACTTACAATTGTTACAATTCTAGATGCGAGATTAAAAGGTATATTAATTTTAATATGTTTAGTATGATTTGAATAAAAATCTAAGTAATTATGAGCATCAGTAGGCTTTGAATACAAATCAGTTGCAATATTATCATTTTCTAATTTAACTAAAACATCCAAAAAGGGTAAAACATGTTCATCCATTTCCATTGTGTAGCGTATAGCCGGATGTAGAGAATTCATTTCCTCACTTAATTTGTCAATACACATATCAGAAGGCCATGCAATAAAACAATCATCTAAAAATCTAAAAAAATTGTTTTGTACATATTCTGAAAACACTTTACCATATTTACATTCTATATTGGTGTAGAGTTTCTCTTCCAAATAACCTAACACAAGTGTTGCATAGGTAGGTGCCATTTTTGTACCCATGGCCGTTCCCTTTATTTGTTGGTAGTGATTGCCATCAAAATAAAAGACATTTCTTTTCAAAATAACTTCTAAGGATTTGATAATAAATTCATGAGCAAAACGATTATCAATCTTATCTGGATGTTTCTTAAGCCAATACGTAATAGCTTCAATTCCTAAATCATGTGGAATATTTGTATATAAGCTGACGACGTCAAAAGATACAAGTTTAGAATTGGGAGGAACAGATTTTGGCAAATGTTTAAGAAAATCAAAATCGTCTTTTATAAAACTCCTCACTGAAGAACAAAGTGGCTTCAAAATTAAGTCAACAAAATGACTAAGCCGTTGGGTTACACTGTTAGGTCCGCCTACTATTGGTCGAAATGTCAAATCATCTGGATTTTCAATCATCACATACTCGCTTTTCTGTTGTTTAATAGCTTCAGCTNACAATTTGTATCTCCCGTATTTTTTATTGTTGGTAAGATCATAAAGTTATGCATTTGTCTAAGTAATGTAACGTCACAATTTAGCTTGTATTGTTGTTGACGTCATGGATTTATGTGTATGCCTTCTGTGACGTCATAATGACTTTGCATTATTGATGACGTCATACTTTCTTGTGTAAACAACTATGACCTCACAATACCTGTTTTCAAAATAAACAGTCTCCTGATGAACGGGGAATCAACCCGAGAAAGGCCTAGAGACGCTATCTCTGTCTTTTGTTCTATTTTTTATATTTAATTCCAACACAAGGACTTCTCAATGTTTTCTTTGTATATATATATATATATAACTTGTCTAGCTGTAACAAGTCACTCTACAAAACTTCACAGTACACAGATATACAGTTATTATAATTTGAGGATTACACAGGCGCTGACACCTCAGTCACTGAACAATATGACCTAGCCTCTACCTATCTGTCAGGGTCAAGGTCAGAGTACAACTTCAGGGAGATAACCCTGACTGTCTGTACAGAAGGTCGGAGTACAACTTCAGGGTGATAACCCTGGCAGTCTGTATAGAAAGACGGAGTACAACTTCAGGGAGATTACCCTGGCTGTCTGTATAGAAAGTCAGAGTACAACTTCAGAGAGATAACCTTGGCTGTCTGTATAGAAAGTTGGAGTACAACTTCAGAGAGATAACCCTGGCTGTCTGTATAGAAAGTCAGAGTACAACTTCAGGGAGATTACCCTGGCTGTATGTACAGAAGGTCGGAGTACAACTTCAGGGAGATAACCCTGGCTGTCTGTATAGAAAGTCAGAGTACAACCTCCGGGAGATAACCCTGGCTGTCTGTAAAGAAGGTCAGAGTACAACTTCAGAGAGATAACCCTGGCTGTCTGTAAAGAAAGTTAGAGTACAACTTCAGAGAGATAACCCTGGCTGTCTGTACAGAAGGTCAGAGTACAACTTCAGGGAGATAACCCTGGCAGTCTGTATAGAAAGTCAGAGTACAACTTCAGGGAGATAATCCTGGCAGTCTGTATAGAAAGTCAGAGTACAACTTCAGAGAGATAATCCTGGCAGTCTGTATAGAAAGTCAGAGTACAACTTCAGAGAGATAATCCTGGCTGTCTGTATAGAAAGTCAGAGTACAACTTCAGGGAGATTACCCTGGCAGTCTGTATAGAAAGTCAGAGTACAACTTCAGGGAGATAATCCTGGCAGTCTGTATAGAAAGTCAGAGTACAACTTCAGAGAGATAACCCTGGCAGTCTGTATAGAAAGTCAGAGTACAACTTCAGGGAGATAACCCTGGCTGTCTGTATAGAAAGTCAGAGTACAACTTCAGAGAGATAATCCTGGCTGTCTGTACAGAAGGTCAGAGCATTAACTTATCTTCTAAATCCATCCTTATTGGGTCGTACAAAATTATGCCTATGTAAGGAGGCTTAGAGTAATTGATTTTCAAATTACATAGGTCACTAAACAAATGATATTTTTCATTATTATGACAATCATTATTGTTGTTAATATAGTAATTGGAATGGGAGATTACCAGATTACCCCCCTCTGTAAAAGTCAAAGTCAAAATAATTTATTTATATGATAGTAATCATTTGTATTTAAACTATTGGCTTAAACAAATCACTTACAAAATATAACCAAAGTTAGTTGTATGAAACTTATCAGCTCAACAATAAATTACACAAAATATAACCAAAGTAAGTTGTACAATAAATTACACAAAATATAACCAAAGTTAGTTGTATGAAGCTTATCAGCTCAACAATAAATTACAGTCAATTTCATATCAGTCCCATTTTCATAATTATCAAAACTTGACTTTATGTAAGATTAACGTAGTGAAGCTTGACATAGCGGGCTACATACCATTAGTTGTACATGTAAGTATGGTATTACCTTTTGATCAAATGGTACAAGTAGAGAATCTCCAAGCAACGGTCCAGCCGTCCACTTCCAGACATCCTTGACCCTTGCAATGTCAGCCTCCGTCACGCTCTCATACACTGACCTACATCAAGTAGATTGTTAAGACAGAACTATGTATCAAACTTATGAAACAAAAGAAAACAGCTGACATGTCTAAGAGAAGTTTTAGCAATTACACATTGGCATTTAGGGGATAAGCCTACTTTATATTGACATTTGCAGTGGTATATTGTGATAATACTGTTGCAACTGGAGTTTTACTGGTAATGCGGAGCGGAACCAGTAAAACGGATATTTGCGACAGTTTAATCATGATATACTGCCCGAATCACAAAATACAGTATGGTTATCCCCATTCTAGCTCATGCAAGCCAAAACCATCAAAAGAAACAATGATTTTAAGATATTTTGAGTGTTTTCTTCAAATTCTGGGTCACTCTGCCGTGGATTGGTGACGTCAGGAATATTCAAAGTGACGTGGAATTACCTTGACCTTTCGGGGTGACACTTTTGTCTGTGACATCATGAATAATCAATTACATGAAGTGTCAGGGTCAGTTGGGGTCATTGAGGTAAATAGCAAATTCCACCTGGACTATTTGCGGACAGTAAATCGTGGTTATGCTGTCACAATTATTTTGACTGACCAATCAAATGTTGTGTGACATCTCAAATGAATGAGATTGTGATATGTACTTTGTAAAGTTCACTCACACAACCTGATAAATGTTCCAAAAAAAGGAGTGATAAAACAAGCAACAGCTGAAAATTAAATGAGATCTGTATCAACATTTCATCAACCAAACAACTACAACTTACAGAGTAAGATGTTCATATCATAAACGAGGAACTCACTTGAATTTATCCCGTAAGTGTACTAAAACGGCTCTCTGAAATAGAAAAGTTCAATATGAGTATGCTATCACTACTGTACAGTAATCACTTATCGTTACTTTGAGGATGGTATCACTACTGTACAGTAATCACTTATCGTGACTTTGAGTATGCTATCACTACTGTACAGTAATCACTCATCGTTACTTTGAGTATGCTATCACTACTGTACAGTAATCACTCATCGTTACTTTGAGTATGGTATCACTACTGTACAGTAATCACTTATCGTTGCTTTGAGTATGCTATCACTTCTGTACAGTAATCACTTATCGTTACTTTGAGTATGCTATCACTACTGTACAGTAATCACTTATCAATACTTGGCATTTCTACGATCTACATTTACATGATGGGAATCACTGTCTGATTATGTCATCATAAGTTCAAAACTAGTTCTTCAACGGCATCAATTTTAAAATTAACAGGAGGAATTCATCACAGCAATCTCAAGCCTGGTGATGATCAAGCTTGTTGTGATTAATTCCTCCTGTTTATATTTACATATTTCATTAATCGCCCTGCATACATTTGGTACCCACGCTCAACACCCCACTCAACACCCCACTAACTTTGGACTGGTGTTGGCTCTATTTTCCTGTTTAACATAAATTATAAGTGATCCACTACAGCCAATGATCTGTTTGTACTTTACCAGCTGTAACTGATTATTGTGTAAATACAGGTTACAGATGAGAAAACAAAGCACTTCATTATAATCAAGCATTCCACTTTTTTGAGAAGTAAATGATTTAACCGACCCGTACAGTTAGTGAGACAAACACAGGTAAACACCACATATCTCACTGCTGCTTACCACAACATTCAAGGATCAGAATCTATTATGTGTCCCCAAATTACTGTTAATGATTTAAACCAATGTTGTATCTCATGAGCGTAACAAGTTTGGAACAAGAGGCCCAATGGGCCTGCATCGCTCACCTGGTATTCATTTCACACTTGTAACCTTAAAAGTTAAAATATCAGTATTTATGACCAAGTCATTCAAAAGAACCTGTTAAAAGATTTAAAAACATTTGACCCTGTTACCATGAAAGTCAAACAAGGTCATTACGTTGAACAAACTTTATAGCCCTTCATCTCAGCACACAACTTGCAAAATATCACCACCCTAGACCTTTTGTTTATTGAGATTAGGTCATATAAATGTTTATACTATTTGACTAAATGTGACCTTGAAAGTGGGTCAAGGTCATCCAAATGTAAAAGTTTGATAGCCCTTCATCCAAGCTCACTACTAACCAAATATCAACATTCTAGGCCTTATGGTTATTCAGAAGAAGTCGTTTAAAGTTTTAAACATATTTGAACCCTGTGACCTTGAATATGAGTGAAGGTAATTCATTTTAACAAACTTGGTAGCCCTTCATCCTAGCATACTACTGGCCATATATCATCATTCTGGGCCTTTCAAAAGGGTTATTCAGAAAAATTGATTTAAGATTTTAACATATTTGACCCCTGTGACCTTGAATAAATGTCTAGGTCATTATTTTTATCAAAGTTGGTAGCCCTTCATTCTAGCATGCTAATTGCCAGATATCATCATCCTGGTCCTTTTGATTATTCAGAAGAAGTTGTTAAAAGTTTTTTAAAGACAAGTGACCCTCTGTCAACTTGAATATGGGTAAAGGTAATTTATTTGGACAAACTTGGTAGCCCTTCATCCCAGCATGCTATTGACCAAATATCATCACCCTGGGCATTTTGGTTATCCAGAAGAAGTTGTTTAAAAAGTTTTTAACATTTTTGACCCCTGTGTCCTTGAATATGGGTCAAGGTCATTCATTTGAACATAATTAGTAGCCCTTCATACAAGTATGCTACTGGTCAAATATCAACATTCTGGGCATCATGGTAATTCAGAAGAAGTCGTTTAAAAGTTTTTGATATATATTTGACCCCCGTGACCTTTAATATGAGTCAAGGTCATTCATTTTAACAAGCTTGGTAGCCCTTCATCCCAGCATGCTCAAGACTTAATATCAACATCCTGGTCCTTTTGGTTATTTGAAAGAAGTTGTTTTAAGTTTTTAAAGACAATTGACAATTGTCACCTTGAATATAGGTGAAGGTCATTCATTTGAACAAATTTGGGTAGCCCTTCATCCCAGCATGCTACTGACCAAATATTATCATCCTGGGCATTTTGGTTATCCAGAAGAAGTTGTTTAAAAAGTTTTTAACATTTTTGACCCCTGTGTCCTTGAATATGGGTCAAGGCCATTCATTTGAAACAAAATTAGTAGCCCTTCATACAAGTATGCTACTGGTCAAATATCAACATTCTGGGCATCATGGTTGTTCAGAATAAGTCGTTTAAAAGTTTTTGATATATTTGACCCCTGTGACCTTGAATATGAGTCAAGGTCATTCATTTTAACAAACTTGGTAGCCTTTCATTCCAGCATGCTCAAGACTAAATATCAACATCCTGGTCCTTTTGGTTATTTGAAAGAAGTTGTTTTAAGTTTTTAAAGACAATTGACAATTGTCACCTTGAATATAGGTGAAGGTCATTCATTTGAACAAATTTGGGTAGCCCTTCATCCCAGCATGCTACTGACCAAATATTATCATCCTGGGCATTTTGGTTATCCAGAAGAATTTGTTTAAAAAGTTTTTAACATTTTTGACCCCTGTGTCCTTGAATATGGGTCAAGGCCATTCATTTGAACAAAATTAGTAGCCCTTCATACAAGTATGCTACTGATCAAATATCAACATTCTGGGCATCATGGTTGTTCAGAATAAGTCGTTTAAAAGTTTTTGATATATTTGACCCCTGTGACCTTGAATATGAGTCAAGGTCATTCATTTTAACAAACTTGGTAGCCTTTCATTCCAGCATGCTCAAGACTTAATATCAACATCCTGGTACTTTTGGTTATTCGAAAGAAGTTGTTTTAAGTTTTTAAAGACAATTGACCCCCCTGTCACCTTGAATATAGGTGAAGGTCATTCATTTGAACAAATTTGGTAGCCCTTCATCCCAGCATGCTACTGACCAAATATTATCATCCTGGGCATTTTGGTTATCCAGAAGAAGTTGTTTAAAGTTTTTAACATATTTGACCCGTGTCCTTGAATATGGTTTAGGTCATTTATTTGAACAAACTTGGTAGCCCTTCATTCCAGTTTGCTTCTGGCCAAATATCATCACCCTAACCCGTGTGGTTATTAAGAAGAAGTTGTTTAAAGTAAAACATTGACTCTCTCTGGACTATGGACGGACGGACGACAGACGCTGCACCAGAGCATAAGCTCACTCTCGTATCAGAACACACACAGGTACAGTCAGGTAACATATACTTACCTCTCGTATCAGGACATACACAGGTACAGTCAGGTAACATACACTTACCTCTCGTATCAGAACACACACGGGTTCAGTCAGGGAACATATACTTACCTCTCGTATCAGGACACACACAGGTACAGTCAGGCAACATATACTTACCTCTCGTATCAGAACACACACAGGTACAGTCAGGTAACATTCATTTACCTCTCGTATCAGGACACACACAGGTACAGTCAGGTAACATACACTTACCTCTCGTATCAGAACACACACGGGTTCAGTCAGGGAACATATACTTACCTCTCGTATCAGAACACACACAGGTACAGTCAGGTAACATATACTTACCTCTTGTATCAAGACACACACAGGTACAGTCAGGTAACATATACTTACCTCTCGTATCGGGACACACACAGGTACAGTCAGAGATCATATACTTACCTCTCGTATCAAGACACACACAGGTACAGTCCGGTAACATATACTTACCTCTCGTATAAGAACACACACAGGTACAGTCAGAGATCATATACTTACCTCTCGTATCAAGACACACACAGGTACAGTCAGGTAACCTCCACTTACCTCTCGTATCAGAACACAAACAGGTACAGTCAGAGAACATATATTTACCTCTCGTATCAAAACACACACAGGTACAGTCAGGGAACATACACTTACCTCTCGTATCAGAACACACACAGGTACAGTCAGAGAACATATACTTACCTCTCGTATCAAAACACACACAGGTACAGTCAGGGAACATATACTTACCTCTCGTATCAGGACACACACAGGTACAGTCAGAGAACACAGGAAACTTTTAAACTCGTACTCAGCTTTAGTCACATAATCTTTTATCTAAAAAAAAGAAATTTCAAAGTGTCTGCTTAATGTACTGCTGTAATGGCTACAAAGCTTTGAGTCAAGGAATATGGAAATCAAAACCTGGAGCCAGTGTAAATCATCATACAACATGTATCACTAACATTTCAAAACCTGGAGCCAGTGTAAATCATCATACAACATGTATCATTAACATCTCAAAACCTGGAGCCAGTGTAAATCATCATACAACATGTATCACTAACATCCACTAGAGTACAAGGTTGGTTAAGTATGAACACTGTTCATGGGTTAATAATTATGTATCATATGACAATAATACTTGATCAGTGTGCAGTTGTGATTTTTGCCAAATATACCATGCACATTTGTTTTGACCACACACCCTCGTTTTGACCATACACCCTAGTTTTGACCACACACCCTTGTTTTGACCACACACCCTTGTTTTGACCACACACCCTAGTTTTGACCATACACCCTAGTTTTGACTACACACCCTAGATTTGACCACACACCCTAGTTTTGACCATACACCCTTGTTTTGACCACACACCCTAGTTTTGACCATACACCCTTGTTCTGACCACACACCCTAGTTTTGACCACACACCCTTGTTTTGACCACACACCCTAGTTTTGACCACACACCCTTGTTCTGACCACACACCCTTGTTCTGACAACACCCTAGTTTTGACCACACACCCTTGTTCTGACCACACACCCTTGTTTTGACCATACACCCTTGTTTTGACCACACACCCTAGTTTTGACCACACACCCTAGTTTTGATCACACATGTTTTGATCACACATGTTTTGATCACACATGTTTTGACCACACACCCTTGTTTTGACCACACACCCTTGTTTGACCATACACCCTAGGTTTGACCACACACCCTGGTTTTGACCACACACCCTTGTTTGATCATACATCCTTGTTTGATCATACACCCTAGGTTTGACCACACACCCTGGTTTTGACCACACACTCTAGGTTAGACCACACACCTTTGTATCGACCACACATGTTTTGACCACACACCCTTGTTTTGATCATACACCCTTGGTTTGACCACACACCCTTGTTTTGACCACACACCCTTGTTTTGACCATACACCCTTGTTCTGACCACACACTCTAGTTTTGACCACACACCCTATTTTGACCATACACCCTAGTTTTGACCACACACCCTATTTTAGACCAACACACCTTTGTTAAGAATGGTTTGTCCAGATACTGTTGTAGTATACCGAGACAGGCTGGACAAGGCTGATCATTACTTGGACTCATATCAACATCTATGTTGTCACTTGTATCTGGTTCAGCAGACGATCTCTTCTTCATGTCATTTAGGGTCTCCTTTAATGTCTGCAGGGACAAATGTTATCAAGATGTTAATTTTGATCTGACAATGAACATATTTCTATCTGGAATTTAACGACTCACCAACATATTGTTGTACCATTAAAAGCATTGATTCCTATGAAGAATTCTAGTCAAGATCTTTGGAGATGATGATTTATCAATGGAAAAGATAAGAACAAAAGTTCACCGAAATAGTCTATTTCCTCTCACTTGCTCAACAGATATTTAATTTTCATTTTTCATGATGTTTATTGTCCATCATGACAAGAGGCCCAAAGGGCCTGTATCACTCACCTGGATATGTTTAAAGTACTTGTTACGAGGTAAAGATATAGCACTCCATGGTAGGTGCTGTATGTACATATGAAATTTCAGAAAGATCCATCCAGTATTTCTGGAGATATAGCGAGAACAAACTTCAGATGTCAAAATCCAAGATGGCGACCCATTGGCCATCTCGTCGTAATGAAAACACCCTTATAGTAACAGGCACTACTAGACAACTTGATGGAGACAAAATTTGGATAACATCTCGGAATCTCTATGGTGGAAGAAGGATTTCAAAGGTTTTACCCAAACACCTATGGGGCCCTGTCCCTCTGCCCCCAGGGGGGGGGGGGCTTAATATATACTCCTATCATTTATACAAAATTGAGAACCCTTGGCGCAAGGATGCTTCAGACTAAATTTGGATAAAATCCCTTTATCCCCATGGTAGAAGAAGGATCCCCCCCCCCATATTGGGCCCCTCTCCTCTGCCCCTTGGGGGGAAGGGGGGGGGGGACACCCACAGTTTATAGAAAATAGAGTGCCCTTGGCCTAAGGACAATCCATACCAAATTGGGATGGAATCCTTAATCCCTATGGTAGAAGAAGGATTTTTTTTAAAATTTACCACTATTTCCCCTATTTGGCCCACTCATCTGCCCCCAGGGGGGCAACACCTACCGTATATACAAAATTTAGTCCCTGTGGCCAAAGGATGCTCCAGACTAAATTGGCCATGGCATAAGCTCACTTGCCCTTTTGGCAGGTGATCTAAAAATCAGATATTGCCTTGTTGGGGTCCTGGGACAGGGACAGGGGAGGGACAGGAACAGGGACAGGGGAGGGACAGGGGAGGGACAGGGACTGGGGAGGGACAGGGGGACAGGGACAGTGGATGGAGAGGGGAGGGAGAGGGGGACAGGGACAGGGGACGGAGAGGGGGACAGGGACAGGGACAGGGGAGGTNCATATAGTATAAAATATGTATTTGATCTTTATTCATTGATTCATTTTGTTAGCTCATAATTGTTTTCTACTTTCATTCTTGTGATTCTTACATAAAGCATATACTGGTAATAATATTAACTTAATTTAGAAATACATGTATTTTTTTTATGATGGTCACATATTAAACATGTATTGGCACATACATATATTTATATATACTAGTAAAGAGAGAGCTGACTATGTTAGCATCTAGTCCATTTGTTTCAAAACATCATAAGAGTATCTATAAGTTCTAATGAAAAATGTGGCAAATATTAAGTTATGTAATTTATTCTATTTCACAGCCATGGAATTATCACATCTCAAACAGATACCATGGTCAACCATAAAGTACATAGCTATATTAGTATACTAATATCTATGTTTATATTACTTGTGGTATTTGGAACAATAATGTAATTTATCTCAATGAATTGACACCCTAACCAGATCATCTGTTTCAGGTGCAAAGATAATTAGAGAAAAAAGTAGGAGAATTAAAAATCAAAATAGTAATTTTAAGAGAACAGTAGTATTGAATTACATGAAAAAAATGTATAAACATACCTTTACACAGTCATATTACTTATTTTAAGCAAATTTATTACTTTAAATGATCTTTCATAACAGGGTTATTTATTTGGACATTTGTCAGTTATATTTCTGTGAGTGAGTTGGATTAGTTGTATGTACAGTGAAGGGTTAAGTGATCGAGTGGTGACATCCTGAAGTGATAAAACACACATACCTCTTGGTAACACTTAAACCTTGATGCACTTTTTTCTCCCAGAAATCTAAATATGCATCTTGGGCAACAACCACATTTCTCCAGACAGGTAATAATATCAGCTGTTGTACTGTCATCGTTTGCAAACGATTCCACCTGAAATATGAATTTAATGTTATTTACATGTATTTGATAAGCACATGTTCCTTAATATCACTTGAAAATAATATATCATAACAGGTTATGATTAACTTTTAATCCATTTTGTAACACCCAACAATTTAAAGCTGATTTCTGGTGAACTTGTAGTCAGTAAATGGACTTATACCCACTTTTTGTGATAAAGCACATAATCCTGAATACTTAAATAACTATTTAATTACTTTGAAAACAAGTAAACATATGTTAATGGGTTTTTTAAATTTGGTAAGGAGCAGGTCAATCCAGTTGTCATCAAATACAACTGGTCCAGTGGGCTATCTTATCACTTTCACTTAAGTCAAGCCCCGAGAAGCAAAGGACAATTAAGTCATGAACTGTTATTATCAAGTAATTGATTAATAGCAAAACTTACGTCACTCCATTCATTATTTCAATATTTTATGTTGTAACGTCATGATGACCACATTTTACTTTATCAAAATTTCATAGGTATATCAGTTAAGTAGGAACAACACTAGCTGTGTTAGATTTAGGGCCCCTTTGTTTACTTGTTGCATGAACAGAAATAAAGCAGAAGCCCTCAGCAACAGAACAGACATTTCTTCTTTACTTTCTGAAGTCCAAATTGGCATCATTTAAATACTCAATATATAACTGTGCAAAAGGTAAAACAAAACGCCAAAAATGGGCACAGGTCTACATCTACATCTTTCACTCTTCTGTCAATCAGTTGACCATTACACAGTGTTGCACAGCATTTCATCAGACTGAATATATATATATATTATAGGTAAGCAAACATTTGAATAAGACTATTTTGGCACAGGCATGTTAGCCAGCTCCTGGAATACAAATACATTTTGAACTTTACTATAAAAGAGGCTAAATTCAACATCCTGATGTCTAAAAAGCAATTAGTATGAATAATCGTTTCCCTAAGGTTGCATAAGTTTAAGTCTCAAGCATTTCACATTTTATATTAGTCATGTTGTCAGTTTGTATGTCACTCGCGTTTAATCTTTCTGTAAATTATATGTACGTCCACACTTGATCACAGAACTAACCAAAAATATCGCCTTTATGAATAAAACCTTAGACCAAAACGTAAAACATCAAAATGAAAGTAGACTAAAAATACATGTGCTTTCCCGTACGTATGGACATTAGAGCTACACAAAATTGTACGAAATTTAAAAGAACAGTTGGAGCAAAGGTATCATCTAAGTTAGGTTTGACATAGTTATTGTAAAACATCCATTGATGCTTGTCGCTCAGCTTAAATAAATCGAAAAAGAAGCGAGTAATATTTCGCAGCACCTGTTCCATGGTGGCGTCCATATTGAAACACAGCTCCACCTATAACAGGAAGTAAAGAGTTATCTTCCGTGTTTTAATTTTTCAGGCGTACGACTTCGATAATGTAGGAAAATTGCATGCCAGACTTGGTAGATCGGTGAAAAGTAGGTACCCATGGTAAATTATCATCTTTGTCACTGCATATGGTAAAGCATCATAAAAAATGTTGCATTTTATTAATGTTCACTCCGACATAACACCTGTGTATAGGTTAATTAAGCTACTGTCATTACTACATTACTGAGTGAACAGATGAATGTTTTCATTGGTGAAAGAATTACTTAATATTTTTAGTTGACCCTGCTAGACTAGGCTCACTAGCCACATCTCATCTGTACAGTACTATAAAATCATGGAGTTGTTAATATCATACTCAAATACCAAAGCAAATGCTCGTTGAAGTATGCATACATGTATGTAGCGAATGAGCCCTCTTGTCAGTTTATGGAGGATTTCTCGTGCAGTATTAATATATATTTGGGCTTTTAGTAGCTATTTGTCTCATAAGTGTATTTGACTCCCCAAAATTAGATGTGTATACCTGTGCATGATGACATGTGCACTGTTGACTGTACATGTTTTAATGTTGACCCTCTGAATTTCAAGGAAAACGTTTATTTGTGTTATTCTTAATCTGTTAATGTCAATGATCAACTGAAATCCCTGTAGGATCCATTCACAATTAGGAATGCATTAATTAATTATATTAACTGATTAACAGGTTGGGCACAACGGCTCATGTGGGTAATAATCTTGCATTTGGGGAACAGTTACCCATTTCAGTAACAATTTTATTACTGGGAAATAAAGTGAAATGAAAACATACAAATTAAAGTTCTTTTAAAAACTTTGAGCAAATCCAATAAATAACACAACGTAGTACATTTGTTCACAAAAAGTTATCAATTCTGACATCTAAATTTTGGTGAAAATGACTAATAACCATACCAGTGATTTTTGTCAGGTTGTTTCGGTAACAAGTCGTTTCATTAACAAGACGAAAGTCGTTTCGGGACTTTTTCCATGTTGTTTTGGGACATGTAAAAAGTCGTTTAGGGATTTTTCATTTTTTTAAAGGTTTAAACAACTTATCATAGCCTTCTCCCGTCATACATTTATACATTTACCCTTACATGATTTTAATTTAATTTCAATATAGCAAAAATAAAATGCTTAAAACATTGTTAGAATCAGTGTTAACTCATTAATGTCAAAAATGGAGAATATATGTAGTGAATTGAAAACATATTACATGTATTACAATATCAAACAAGAAACCCTGTCACGGACTGTAATGTGACATTTATTTTAAGGGACACTTTCATAGACAAAGTAATAAACTACTATGGTGTTCAACCGTATCTGCTATTGTCTCAAATGGCAGAAGAGGCATTTGTACTAAAGCTCTATTCAAAGGAACCATAGACAATCATGATTTTGATAACAAAACTGTGTGCTGTGAATTTGCGTAAGACAGTGCTTATTTTTCCTTTGGAAAGCAGCACAGATATATTTCAACGCTGCAGACCTAGCATAATGTAAACTTTAACAGATTGAATGTAAGGGTGAATACACCCTCCCGCAAAGAACAATGATACAATGAACGATAACGAAATATGTACATTGCATAATTTTCTTATTCTTAATTTTGTATTATACACTCTCATTTTTGAGGAATAAAGAATGATGATGATGATGGTGATGCAGGTCATAGTCTAAAACCATACTTGTGTATTTACAGGACTTTTAATGAAACGGGAGCGAAATGTAATTTATAAATGAAAATTATATATGTCCCAAAATGACTTGATTAAGTCCCGAAAAATCATGTGTCATGTCCCGAAACGACTTTGTTACAGAAACGACCTGTTACCGAAACGACTAGCATTCATTTTTTCTGTGTGCTATTTATAGCTACGCTACAACACACTATAAACAATGCACTGCATTTCCATCTCCTTTTATAGTACTAGTGATGCCCATAACCAGCCACTCTTTTATAGTACTAGTGATGCCCATAACCAGCCACTCTTTTATAGTACTAGTGATGCCCATAACCAGCCACTCTTTCAATAGTGTACACACTGAAAGCAGATATTTGAACCTTGGTTGTAAATAATGTCGGGGTTTTTTTGCAATGAAAGATTTTGAAAAAGTAGGGAGGTGTGTAAACGGCACTGGGTGATCATGACTGCCCGTAACCTGTGAGGGAATGTAATCGATTTACATTAAAGCATCCATCTATAGCTAGAGTATGGAGGTTTGAAGTTCACGTCCCTGTCTGGCCAGGTTGCCTTTTCCCTCTGCTGTTGAAGTAATCAGACCTACTAACATCAGGATATATACCTTTGTGTTTCAGTAGGTGACACCTGACCAGCATTATGATGATTCTCAATGGTGACTAAATCAGGAACATGAACTGTGAGCAGTAATTGATGAACCATGTATGCCGAGTGGTCCTTGCAGTGAGCCATATTTATAAGTAGGGAACCATGTATGCTGAGTGGGCCTCACTTCAAAATGACATCCAGTGTGACAAGGCCAACCAGAGTGTCCTACACAAGTTCCCTCCCCTTGTCGGCCGAGATGTGGCCTTTACGGTGGTCAAGCACATCGCGTCCAGTATCAATCACGCAGCCAATAACTCGGAACCCTCAAACCTCAACACTGACAAAGATGTTAAGTGGGCAATGGAGGTAAAGATCTAGATCCTCCTTTCTTTGTATCCCATTTCTACCTGAATTAGTAATCTCTTGTTGATGTAAGTCTAAAAGCAATACTGTACCAGTAGTATGACTGCAGTGCTAGCTGTTACAATTGTACAAATGTTCAACATAAGGTGAACACTTTTATGCTAATTGAATTTCATGTCTGATCATTTGAATACTAAAAAATGAGAATATTGAATCTGTTTTGGCCAGTAACAAACACTAATGCCTAATATAGCTATTTCGGTGTATTTTAAGCAGACAATCTACACAGTATGTTGGCTTTTCCAATAAGGTTTTCGTCCAAGGTTTGGCTCTTCTGAACAACTTTGTTATCACTACTTTTCAGAAAGTACCTGACAGATCTTTCAAATTTCGTGTACCAATTCCCCTTGGTCCTAGCTGTGGTTTTTTTGTGTGAATTTTTTATGATATAAAGAACAATATGGCTACCAGGTAGATGTTTTGGATTTTAGTGTAAAAGTTTGTTATTACCATTTTTCAGAAATTTATGAACATGTCTAGACCTGTCTCAAATTTTGTTAACAAAATACCTTTTGGTTCTGATAGTGCAATTACAACATATTTTTGTTTTTGAATTTAGAGAATATGATCTGATTTTTCACAACTAAAGGTGCTGTGTTTTGGGCTGAGCCTACCACTGGCAGAGCATGAGACGATCAAGGAGTGTGTTCTTGTGTACTTTGAGTGGTTGTCCGCGTGCACTTCACCTAAAGTATGCGTTCCGCGGCCTGTGAAGGAAAATCCAAACCCATACGCTCAGGACATGATACACCACTTACTGAACTTGTTTGTGCCACGTCCTGGCTCAGGTAGGTCTTGTTTGTGCCACGTCCTGGCTCAGGTAGGTCTTGTTTGTGCCACATCCTGGCTCAGGTAGGTCTTGTTTGTGCCACGTCCTGGCTCAGGTAGGTCTTGTTTGTGCCACATCCTGGCTCAGGTAGGTCTTGTTTGTGCCACGTCCTGGCTCAGGTAGGTCTTATTTGTACCACGTCCTGGCTCAGGTAGGTCTTGCTTGTGCCACGTCCTGGCTCAGGTAGGTCTTGTTTGTGCCACGTCCTGGCTCAGGTAGGTCTTGTTTGTCCCCATTCCTGGTTCAGATAATGCAAGTCTTGTTTGCCTGTTTCTTTAAATTGCTGTCCCAGTTACAAAATTTAGGTCAGTTTGTGCCACTTCCTAGCTCAGGGAGGTCCTTGTTTATCCCATTTCCAGCCTCCATAAAGTCTTGTTGTCCCGTACATATATAATACAAAGACAGGGGTTAGAGTTAAAGATAAGTGAAATCTTTGCATAATCAATTGCCATTCTGCACTCTCATTGGTCTAGGCCAAAATACTAAAGTTTCTGTTAAGGAATTAGCTTTATTATCATTCGATTTTGATTAAACTTAGTAAGTATGTACATTTCACAGATTAAGGCTAAGTTTTAAGTTGAGCAAAATCTGTGCGTAACTAATTAGCATATTGTGCTTTGATTTGCTGGCAGTTTCTGAACATTTACTTAATCAAATATGACCTGATTTGGATAAAACTTGTTCAGGATTTATATTATACAAAGACGAAGGCTAAGTTTGATGTTGAACAAAACATCAATGATATGATACTAAATATGATGTAAAAATTATGTAAATATTATGTTAAAAATTCTGATTTTGTTTAAAGATACAATTACTAAAACAAAATAAAAATATAAAGAATGTGTTTGGAAACTTGTACATAATTATATGTTTAACTACTGTTATATAACTACAATGTCAGGGAGTCTTATAAATCAAAGATTTGATTATATGGCTTATGTCAGGGAACTTTTATGAGGGCTTTGAATTTGTGTATAATCAAGTGACAATTAAGCTACAGTTTGCCTTCTGTAATACAGACTGTGTCTCCAGCTCACGATATATAACTTGTCTGTGTTAGGTATACCAACATACTACAAGTGCTTGTTATGTGTTTCTCATTAAATGTTATAAATGTATCGCTGTGATGATATGTGACCTACTTGTAGGAGTGGACTTAGTAAAGAGACAGGCACTGCTCTGTCACCGAGTTCTCCGGTGTATAGAAGATGTCGCAGAAAAGTCGAACGTGTTGACGAGGGACACCTGGGAAACGTTGCTGAGGTTTCTCCTGGCGGCCAACGACAGTTTACTGTCTCCGCCCACGGAAAAAGGTGGGGCTATATCAACCAGGAATAACACGAGGATAAATGGTTATCTTTGGTTTTGCATAATGTTCCTGTTTGTACATGAAATGGCATGGTGTTTCTTGTATACTAACATCAGACTCGAGATCATGTTTGTAGATTTAGAATAAAAATCTAAATTAAAGCAGACTTTTGATATCGGCTACTACTGGTACTCCATTTTCGTTGACTACATGCTACCTTACACATGTTATCATAGATATGTGTTGTAGTTGTCTCCCTTGAATTAAATCAAGCTTTGTACCAGTAATATGGTATGATTCAGTAAATTTTTCAAAAATGTAATAATATTCATAAAAAAAAACGAAATTGTGGAATTCCTTTTTGAAAATGATGCATGTGAGTAAGGTAGCATACTCCTTTAAATATTCACACTCACTATTATACATTGAAGGTATGGACTAATCACTTATATCTTATTGCTCTGTTTAAATGCGGACATGTTTACCAATTCATGAAATATAGGCATAGTTGCTAGAGTACAGAATTCATGCTGAGCGTACAAATATAAGTACACTATATTTGTTGGTAAAACCAGTTCACCCGTCATAGCGTTAGTGTGCAAAACATGTCCGAAAGAAAAACATTCATTTCTATTATAGTTTCTGGTTTGTTACTACAGAAATTTTGTTTAACAAGGAAAAATATATCCTTATCTCTATTTTCCTTTTTTTTGTATGATTACATTTTACAATAGATTACATTTTTTCATAACACAGTTATGCATCTAGACTGACATTCTGAGTATATGTTATTAACTTTCTGTTATGAATTTGATTTATTTAGCAATTATAGTTCAAGTTTGTGGCCTGTTACAACCAACATTGATTGAGCAGTATCTCCACTTAGCTTTCCATCTGTTTTATTTATTTTCTAGCTTCCTGGTAAGAACATTTTTCTGCCATTTGTGGTCTAGATGTCTGCATCGGAAATACTTTTGGATAATGTCCATTTTGTTTTGTTAATTGTTAGTTATTTGAAAAAGATTTAAAACAGCAAATAAAAAACATCACAAAAAAATACAATCCAATGAAAGTTACCAAACTCACCTGTTCTGTTTTAGTAGATTTTGATAATAAAATTTAAATCGCTGGCTTGTTTGAGAGAAGTGAGATTTCTATTGGTTGTAGATAAGGCCGTATTTCTAACAATAACGACTGTTGCAATGTTATGTTATTCCGCATGTGTTGCCATTTTTGTTCATGCAGACGATACAGGACTGAGCTCATGTAAGTTATACACTGATGTGTTGTAACATCGACTAATGCCACTAGTTCCTACAGTCTGCCGGAATAGTTCCTCTAATACCTCAGAACATACTGGGCTCTCCTCCTGGTGCTGCAATGAAACACAGAATTACAAATAAGGGCGATAACTCTACATTTCCCTCTCCCAATGTTGTGTAACATCTAGATCTATTGATGGAATGCTCTTTAATCAGGGATTTTTAGCTAATTCTCTAATCATAAGTTCTTCTGAGGGTTCACATTGTATTTGGAGAAATTGAGAGAATAATTCTTGGAAAATGAAGTATATGTTTTTCTCTGACAAGAAGGAAAGAATAGCAGCACTGTAGATTAGGACCGATATTATCAGGTGGTCACTCAAATGAAAATTTAATATAATTTACTTACTGTGTCACTTTTGAAAAATTAAACATACTATTAAAAGACATGAAACTGAATTGAAATATGAGAATAATGTATCTACCAAATGATTAGGAAGTAGTTTGAAACACATCTTGACTGTAGTAAACATAACAGTGTTTTCACCTCAAAACAGTATTTAATGAGGCATTACATTGAGATCTTATCCCTACCTACAATACAGAAACAATAGTAAAAGGAAATTTGAAAATATTATCCAAGCACCACATCAAACTTAAAAAATATCAGTTTTGATTTCTTTAACTGATCTAAGATTTATTGAAGTAATACTTAAATTAATGAAACTAATATTAGTTCAATAAATATCAGTATTGATCTAAAACAAAATATTTAACACGTAACATTTTTTCCTCCTGAACCCTTTATTGCAACGCTAGGAGGAGGTAGCCTAACCTTGTTTCCTTGTCATGTGATCTGAAGGGTCAACGAGTTCCTCTATGTGCCTCCTGATTTATACAGTGTATTTCTTGTATGGTGAATCCCTTGGGTGTAGATGGGTCTTTCTGTAAGTCCTAATTGATATATTACATTTTTTTATGGAATTTGGATTTTGACAAAGTCACCACATTGGAAATCTGATTGGAAATTACATATTGAAAATTAAAAATAACACAGTGTTTGTAGATGACCAAGCGAACTTTTTCATTTCAATATTCAACCTTAGTAACATAAGCTGCTGTATTCAAAACCAGAAATTTTCTTGTGCAGATTTTTTTTTACGCTTTTGCTATATGAATGTATTGCAGTGTGGAATTTTTCATGCTTTAACTTTAAAAACTTTGTTGTGTTTTAGAAACTTTACTCTAGAAATGCAGCAATATACGTATTTCACAGTGTGTCAGTGTGTTTGCACATTCATATCTTAACACTGATCGTGATTTCATCACAGAAATTATTGAAAGTTTCAATACCACAAAAGTTCACATTTTTATAGTTAAAGTCAACACCATCATCAGAGACTGATCTGAAAAAAACCAAGATGGCCTTCAGGCAGCCATCTTTGATTTTGACACTATTTTTCAAGACGTAGTTGACAGATCTTTGTCAAATTTCATACATAGGTTCCTTTTGGCCCTTAGTTTGCAGATCAATTTTGAGATTGATTGAAAAAACCAGATATAGGCCAGCTACGCAGACATCTTGAGTATGACTATCAGAGTTTGTAATGGCTATTTCTCTGGGAGTAAATTACAAATATATATAGCTCAAATTACCTAAGTTTTCGAGGTTCTTCCTGTTTGCTAATTTTGCATATACAGACATTTCATTTTGAGCTTCAAGCAACTTGATGAAAAGCAAAAATAGGACTGACGTCAATTAAAAAGAAAAGAATCTTGTTACACTTTTAATACTACCGGTATATAAACTTGAAAATACCGAAAACAAATGTAGGTCAACAACCTGTTTGAAAATACAAGAGAAAATTTCAAAAGAAAAATGTAAGGCAACAGCAACCTCACTTTGAAAGAACAGTGTCAAACATTCACGAGTTGCTACACGATGCAAGGACCGTTGACATGATTCAACCCAACAGAGAAAAGAGAAAACTCACACAGGACTAAGATCTTACAAAATGTCCCTTTATTTAAATAAAAAAATCTTCTAAAAACATTTTCATGTCAATACTTGAGGATTTCCAATGAGACTTTGAAGTTACACATAAGAGCTGTTAATGCATGCTGTTTTGTTGTAAGTTTCTTACGGAAGATTGTCTCTCGGAGTGGCCTCCCCTTTGACCTGAATGTGAATGTCCCTTGCCTGTTTGGTGTTGAACATTTGAAGTGGCTTGTGTATTTGAAGCTTGTTATATTTTAATGTTGTTTGTGTGATGTGCATGTTGTATTCTAAGACGGATTAATATATATTTGAGATAATTACATTGTACAGTGTGACCTTATTGACCTAGACCTATTGTTTCACCTATCAAGGCAGGTATTTATATATCAGACCAAACACCTAAAACAGTCTTAATCAACTGATTTCAGTACAAAGTTACATTGTTTTATATGAAATCAAATTTTTAATGTAAGTTTATTCAAAATTCACTCTAGCAGTTCAAATTTACTTAAACCTGAAGTCAGTGTTTTGAGAGTATTCAAGTCAGTCAGGATAATAAGAGTCTATAATTTGAAAAACAACCTGCTGGTGAATCATAGCTATGAATCCCTAAAACTGACATCTCTAGACATTATATTCAGGAAAATCAATGTTTATTTAATCTGGAAAAGTCATTATCCTGATTTTTTTTTCAGAAACCAAAGTCTCTTGTTTGATAAAGTTCCACTGTACTAGCTTAAGCTTTATAAGAGCCTAATTTTGTTGACATTTTGAATTTGTTGATGTAGTTGTGCAAACGTTTGCAGATCAATATTTCAACAACAAAATATATAACAGTGTTTTAGTGTATTATTTATCACTATGACTTACTTGGCATATTATAATAATTTTATTATGACACATAAAGCTTGTCTCCAGCTTACTTTTAATTCCCACCATCAGGTGAGCTGTTCAAATTGCTTTTCATCCATGGTCCATTGTCCGTACACATAAATTACAAATTATGTGTTAGTAAATAGGACAAACTTTGAAAAGGATACAAGTTACCACAAGGTGCATTGAGAGAGACAGGATCAAACTTCTATACAGCCAATGTAGGTTTTACAGGGGTGGGTGCCAACATCCCTCTGGCAGCTCTTGTTTGTAAATGGATTCAGAGCTTAGATATATAGGTATCCATAACTACACGCTACACTATTTCATTTAATGCGTTACACAGATTTTTTCTTTCCTTTATTTCAGTTATCTGGTGTTGTATTTATTTGATGGTTTCTTATCATTTACATAATTGGTGTCAAAATTAATTTGATACACAATTAACCGAAATTCTTACAGAAACATAAAACTGGCCGTTTTTATTGATGTGTGAATGTTGTATCTACTGTCCTTTTCGTTATATTTCCATCTTGAGTTGTTTTGTAAGACAAGCAGTTAGAACTAGGTTTTCAGGTGTACTTGAATAGGTCTCTACTAATAGGTCAAAGTCCCACTGTCCAGTCAGACTTTTCAGAGAGATGGCTTTATATAAGATTTAAAATCTTGTTGCCAGATCCTATTGATATTAACATTAACCTATGTGCTTATTATATATGATATATGAAATAAATATTGTTTAAACCGACTTTTCAGACATACATTCACTATCGTTCCAGTTATGCAGCCAATACATAATTCATTCGGTAACATTTGGAATAAAAGTAGCTAGAAATTTGCAGATCCACTGTGTATTGTAAATGTACCTGTTTTAGAGGTAATTTTATTTTCATTTAAGCCCTTTTTTTGATAGCATTGTACATGTATTCAAAATAGCTTAATCCTAACAACTGCTGAGCGCATCCATACGGTCACTGTACTGTTGTATTTTGTATATAGTTGAAGCACTAATCACGGTGTATGTATGACTTCAATGTTGTCACTGGTGTGATATGAGTGAGCTATTTATGTACCATTATAATACATGATTTAATAAATGATTTTATTTAGGATTTTGAGACCCAAGTAAATGTCACTGTACCTATTGCCTTAATTTCACCTTAAAGATAACTCTTGACAAGTTCCAGTGAAAATAATTGCTTGAATTAAGAAATGTGATTGTTTGATGGAAATTACCTTAAGTTAATATGAAACAGAGGCCTGACGTCTTTGATATGAAAACCATTTGACTGTGTGGCTTTGACAGTAACTTTGTGACAAATGTAATTGTACCAGTCCATTAGATACTGTATATGCTGATACAGTATTGACACTAAATTGTAACTGAAGGCTGTGTGAAAACTCTTAACTTATAACATTTTGCTGGAAGTTCATTTTGTAAACTGTAATATTTCAGTCCACAGCCGTCCCTAATTACTGTCCACTGCCCATTAATGCCCACTATTCCATATTGTCCACTGCCCTCCATATTGACTTTGCCCTCCATATTGTCCAGTCCTCTTAGAGTAGAGTCTATATTTTTCACTGCCCTACGTATTGTCCAGTCTTCCATATTATCCATTGTCCTCCATATCACCCTCTGCCCTTCATATTGTCCACTGCCTTCAATATTGCCTTCCATATTGTCCACTGCCCTCCAAATTGTCCACTGACCTCCACAATGTCCACTGCCCTCCACATTGTCCACTGCCCTCCATATTGTCCACTGCCCTCCACAATGTCCATTGCCCTCCAAAATGTCCACTGCCGTCCACAATGTCCACTGCCCTCCATATTGTCCACTGCCCTCCACATTGTCCACGGCCCTCCACATTGTCCACTGCCTTCCACATTGTCCACTTCCCTCCACAATGTCCACTGCCCTCCACATTGCCCACTGCCCTCCATATTGTCCACTGCCCTCCACATTGTCCACTGCCCTCCACATTGTCCACTGCCCTCCACATTTTCCACTGCCCTCCACAATGTCCACTGCCCTCCACATTGTCCACTGCCCTCCATATTGTCCACTGCCTCCACATTGCCCACTGCCCTCCATAATATCCACTGCCGTCCGTATTGTCCACTGCCTTCCACATTGTCCACTGCCCTCCACATTGTCCACTGCCTTCCACATTGTCCACTGCCCTCCACAATGTCCACTGCCCTTCTATATCATACATTGCCCTCCATATTGTCCACTGCCCTCCACATTGTCCACTGCCCTCCAAATTGTCCACTGCCTTCCACATTGTCCACTGCCTTCCACAATGTCCACTGCCCACTATATCGTCCACTGCCCTCCACAATGTCCACTGCCCTTCTATATCATCCACTGCCCTCCATATTGTCCACTGCCTTCCACATTGTCCACTGCCCTCCACATTGTCCACTGCCCTCCACAATGTCCACTGCCCTCCATATTGTCCACTGCCCTCCACAATGTCCACTGCCCTCCATATTGACTTTGCCCTTGGTATTGCCCTCTGACCTCCATATTTTCCATTGTTTAATTCCCTGACATATGTCTACAAGCACTAGTACTGCTGTTTGTAGTTATAATATCATTTGGCCAGTTTGGGATTCATGGTTTCCTTAAGGGTGAATATAAAATGGTAAAAATATCCTTTTACAGTGTTCGTACACAATGTTTTCTCATCTTTAAAAAGACTATGCCCTGTGTTATCAGAGGTTAAAGGCAGCATCAGTTATACAGTGACAGCTTTCACCGCGTAGGATCGGCATTAAACACTTAATATATAAGAAAATATATGTAAGACGTTTTTACATTGTAGATGATATTGGCGACCATCTCTGTGAGCGAGTGCTCAGTGTACTGTTTGAAATGTGGCTCCTGGCATGTCACAAGTGTTTCCCATCACCGTCGCTGTGGAAGACTTTCCGTAATATGTGTGTGAACTGGCGCCACCACGAAGCATTGGTAACACAGTGGCACAAGGTCAACCATAACCTGACGTCACGCCTCCTCAAGGTCATGTACGGCCCTGAGTACCCAGAGCTCCAGCTGAGTGAGTATCTACCCGAACTGGTACTCCAGATTTATGATGCCATATATAGGAGTACAGATTCTGACATACCGTAGGAGAGTTCAGATATTGATTGACGATTTTTCTTTCATATAAATGGGATTAGGGACATTCATGTCAGACAGACATTTTCTTATAACAAAAATTAAATTTCAATTTTTAAAGTCTGTTTCACGAGCATTCATAAGGCTGTAGATTGAAAATATTAAATATTAAGTTACATCCAAAATTTGAATTAATTTCCACTTCAGACGAGACTGAGAGCCAGTTTATCTCCCCTGATATGACAGATGACTGTGTGGCTCAGTGTTGGTTCCGCTTCCTACACATCATACAGAACCCAGTCGACCTGTGTCACCCCGAGATCATCGGCGGCACCCCCAAGTTCTTACAGCTCCGCTCAGGGGATGGCCTGGATCCCAGCCAACACGAGTGTCTACAGAAACTGCCGTACATTTTCTACAAGGCAATGAGAGGAATCTCCATATTAATCAATGCATTTCTAGGTACAATACAAAACTGTATATAATCCATCATGTCTGTTTTGGTGTTAATCTTGACCTGAGTAAGATCTGCTAAGTTTCAGATGTTTAAAATCTTATCCCGAAAGTTGAGAGGAGATTTTCAAAATCACAGTTATGAGTACATGTATTTTTCTCTCACACCTGAAATTTACTAAAACTGCTACGTCAGACTAGTTCTGTCATGTACTGTACATGGGTACAAAAACTGGTTGTATTGTGGCGGGATGACCCGGTCCTGTGCATGGGTACAAAAACTGGTTGTGTTGTGGCGGTATGACCCGGCCCTGTCTATGGGTACAAAAACTGGTTGTATTGTGGCGGTATGACCCGGTCCTGTGCATGGTACAAAAACTGGTTGTATTGTGGCGGGATGACCCGGCCCTGTCCATGGGTACAAAAACTGGTTGTATTGTGGCGGAATGACCCGGTCCTGTGCATGGTACAAAAACTGGTTATATTGTGGCGGGATGACCCGGTCCTGTGCATGGGTACAAAAACTGGTTGTATTGAGGCAGGATGACCCGGTCCTGTACATGGGTACAAAAACTGGTTGTATTGTGGGGGGATGACCCGGCCCTGTCTATGGGGACAAAAACTGGTTGTATTGTGGTGAGATGACCCGGCCCTGTCTATGGGTACAAAAAATGGTTGTATTGTGGCGGGATGACCTGGTCCTGTCCATGGGTACAAAAACTGGTTGTATTGTGGCGGTATGACCCGGTCCTGTCTATGGTACAAAAACTGGTTATATTGTGGCGGGATGACCCGGTCCTGTGCATGGTACAAAAACTGGTTATATTGTGGCGGGATGACCCGGTCCTGTGCATGGTACAAAAACTGGTTATATTGTGGCGGGATGACCCGGTCCTGTACATGGGTACAAAAACTGGTTGTATTGTGGTGGGATGACCCGGTCCTGTGCATGGGTACAAAAACTGGTTGTATTGAGGCAGGATGACCCGGTCCTGTACATGGGTACAAAAACTGGCTATATTGTGGTGGGATGACCCGGTCCTGTACATGGGTACAAAAACTGGTTGTATTGTGGTGGGATGACCCTGTCCTGTGCATGGGTACAAAAACTGGTTGCCGGTCCTGTGCATGGGTACATGAATATAGTGAGGTTGTTTGATAACAAGAACCTTTTGTGAAGTGCTGACATTTATTGATATGATCCCATTGTAAAGTGGTTATGCTTCAAGAGACCTTTTGCAACACAGGGAAATATGTGGGGGGGGGGGGGGGGGGGANGGTATTGTACTCAAATGTACTACCTGATTGGGATGGTTGGGATGAGGAAGTGAGGCAGGTATTGTACTCAAATGTACTACCTGATTGGGATGTGGAAGTGAGACAGGTATTGTACTCAAATGTACAACCTGATTGGGATTGTTGGGATTAGGAAGTGAGACCTGTATTGTACTCAAATGTACATCCTGATTGGGATGATTGGGATTAGGAAGTGAGCCAGGTATTGTACTCAAATGTTCAACCTGATTGGGATGGTTGGGATGAGGAAGTGAGACAGGTATTGTACTCAAATATTCAACCTGATTAGGATGGTTGGGATGAGGAAGTGAGACAGGTATTGTACTCAAATGGTCAACCTGATTGGGATGGTTGGGATTAGGAAGTGAGACAGGTATTGTACTCAAATGTTCAACCTGATTGGGATGGTTGGGATGATGAAGTGAGGCAGGTATTGTACTCAAATGTACTACCTGATTGGGATGAGGAAGTGAGACAGGTATTGTACTCAAATGTACAACCTGATTGGAATGGTTGGGATGAGGAAGTGAGATAGGTATTGTACTCAAATGTACTACCTGATCGGGATGGTTGGGATGAGAAAGTGAGACAGGTATTGTACTCAAATGTACAACCTGATTGGGATGGTTAGAATGAGGAAGTGAGACAGGTATTGTACTCAAATGTTCAACCTGACTGGGATGGTTGGGATGAGGAAGTGAGAAAGGTATTGAACTCAAATGTACAACCTGATTGGAATGGTTGGGATGAGGAAGTGAGACAGGTATCGTACTCAAATGTACAACCTGATTGGGATGGATAGAATGAGGAAGTGAGACAGGTATTGTACTCAAATGTTCAACCTGATTGGGATGGTTAGAATGAGGAAGGGAGACAGGTATTGTACTCAAATGTACAACCTGATTGGAATGGTTGGGATGAGGAAGTGCTACAGATATTGTACTCAAATGTACAACCTGATTGGGAATGGTTGGGATCGATGAGGAAGTGTGACAGGTTTTGTGCTCAAATGTTCAACCTGATTGGGATGGTTGGGATGAGGAAGTGAGAAAGGTATTGTACTCAAATGTACAACCTGATTGGAATGGTTGGGATGAGGAAGTGCGACAGATATTGTACTCAAATGTACAACCTGGTTGGGATGGTTGGGATGAGGAAGTGAGACAGATATTGTACTCAAATGTACAACCTGATTGGGATGGTTGGGATGGGGAAGTGAGACAGGTATTGTACTCAAATGTACAACCTGATTGGGATGGTTGGGATTAGGAAGTGAGACAAGTATTGTACTCAAATGTACAACCTGATTGGGATGGTTGGGATGAGGAAATGAGACAGGTATTGTACTCAAATGTACAACCTGATTGGGATGGTTGGGATGAGGAAGTGAGACAGGTATTGTACTCAAATGTTAAACCTGATAGGGAAGAGGAAGTGAAACAGATATTGTACTCAAATGTACTACCTGATTGGGATGGTTGGGATGAGGAAGTGAGACAGGTATTGTACTCAAATGTACAACCTGATTGGAATGGTTGGGATGAGGAAGTGAGATAGGTATTGTACTCAAATGTACTACCTGATCGGGATGGTTGGGATGAGAAAGTGAGACAGGTATTGTACTCAAATGTACAACCTGATTGGGATGGTTGGGATGAGGAAGTGAGACAGGTATTGTACTCAAATGTACTACCTTAAGTTTTTAATTCACCTGCGCCAAGTGAGTTTATGCTGTGATGCAGCGTCTGTTATTCGTCTGTCCAACCTTCATCCACTTTTTTATTTAAATGACTTCTTCTGAATAACCAATAGGCCTAGGGTGATAATATTTGACAAGTGCCATACTGGGATGAAGGGATTTCAAGTATGTTCAAATAAATGTCCTTGACCCACTTGCAAGATTCATAATAAGTGGTTTGTGGCTTAATGGTGAAAAGTTCTATGAGGTGTGGGGTTTAGACCTAGAACCAACTTTTATGGTCAGAGTAATGTACTTTACAGCTACAAATATAAAATCTTTCGGAACGGACGTTAATGTTTCAACCAAATGTTTCCACCAAAATATAACAAATCGTGACCAAAATATCTCGAACAAAATTCATCTCGGAAGATTTAATGCATTTATCCTGAGAGTCCATTTGTCTTTGCTATTAAAATATAATGGATGTTTTTCCATTGTTATAAAGATAGAATATGACCCTGAGAAACAATTAATAAGAGAATTATGTTTTGATCGATCTGTGTAGAAGGATGAAAGTGGGAAGTCAGAAAATTTGAAAAGGAAGTTTTATCAGTTACTGTAATGTTACCAATGTTTTGTATATTTAGGTATATCTCAATCACTGAAGGCAGAGGAAGAATTGACCCAGCCTGCTCCAAGTAATCGTCACTCAGTCAATGTACCACCTGTCACCCCTCCGGGACAGAGAAAGTCCACACGCCCAATGTCAGTACTGGCTGGAACTCTCTCACAAAAAGGTGATTAACAGCTCGCTTAAAACAGTGCTCTGATTTTGATTCATTTATTTAGTAGACATTTAATTCAATTTAAGTCCATGAAACTGAAGAAAGGGAAACCAGTATTTCCTAAACTGACAGGTTGGTCAAAGTAGTGTCCATTTTAGACAGGTTGTATTGTATATAACAGTTCCAATAATAATTTCAGTTCAGTTACAGTAAAAGCTGAATATGATATACATAGTTATATTTGCCACCAACACATGACCTGTTGTCAGTTTTACTTAAATCTTGCTCTATCATTTATAAGTCCCATACACTGGTTACAGATGACAGTAAAATATTGCACTATTGTACACATGTTTTCTAATTCTGAACTCTCTATAGTATCCTCAAAGTCATCCTCAGTGGCTGCCAAATCAACAGTGCCGCCTCCCACCAATTTTCCTGGCCAGCTCCTTCTTGACTCTCGCCAGCCGCTGGCCCCGGCCCGTCCGCGCTGTAACAGTATCTTACACATGTATGGGGCCTGGCTGTTTGATGCTGCATTGGCCCGAGTCCGACTACAGGCTTGTCACAGAGGACCCACCGTCAGCGGTAACCATGCCAGTTTCATATTCAGATTTGATATATAACATATATCCTACAATCAGTACCTTGTTTTCATAAGTCTGTATCGTGGTAGAGCATTGCTGACTGTTTACTTATCTGTGTACTCCTTCTGTCTGAACCATGACTTTTTACAGATAAGAGATAATTGATGAAACTGTATACTGTAACTTTTTATCCCCCCATCATCAGATGTTCGGCTATTCAAATCACATTGCGTCCGTGGTCAGTGGTAAGTCCGTCCGTCCGTACATCCGTCATTCCATCTGTCCTTAAACAATTATTGTTAGCACTGTTGGATGGATCTTTCTCAAATCTTACATGAAGGTTCCCCATAATCCTTAGTTATGTGTATTGTTTTATGGATCTGATTGCAAAACCAAGATTGCCGACAGGCAGCCATCTTTAATTTGAAAGTTAAAGATTGTTAGTTTTATTTCCCAGAACTTATTGGAAGGATCTTTCTCAATTTACACATGAAGGTTCCCCATGATCCCTAGTTATGTATATCGTTTTTTGGGACTGATCACAAAACCGAAATGGCCGACAGGCAGCAATCTTGAATTTGAGAGTTAGTTTGTTAGCGCTGTTTTCAGAAAGTTCTGGAGGGGTCTTTCTCAATTTTAACATGAAAGTTCCCCATGGTCCCTAGTTACACATATTAAAATTTGGGACGGAAAGGAAAACCAAGATGACCCACTGAAGGCCATCTTGAGTTTTAGAATGAAAGTTTGTTAGCTTTATTGCTCAGAATGTTAAGGAGGGGTCTTTCTCAAATTTCACATGAAGGTTCCTGATGGTTCCTAGTTCCGCATTTCAAATTTTGGGGATGATTGGAAAACCAAGATGGCTGGCTGGCTCTTGTTCTTACCCCTGGTAGTTATGCATATCAAATCATATTGGCCGGCCATCTGGTTACAATTAAAGTTTGTTATCGCTATTTCTCAGAATTTACTGCAGGATTTTTTCTAATATTTGATATGTAGGTTCTGCTTGGTCCTGAGTTTAGCATGTTAACTTTTGAGGATGATCAAATGGTGGGCGCCAAGAACCCTCTGGGATCTCTTGTTATTAGTTTTGTCAGAATGATAAGTTCTGAACTTTGGATAACTTAAGAAGAGAAATCAATATTTATCAACATGCTCACATATAGGTCAACACTACTCATGGTTCATTTGCTCACCATAACCATACTTTGTCTGGGCAATAAAACAACCTCTCAACAACAGCAGTAACTGTTGAAGTATATAAAAGTTATATTTATCAAACCTTTTTATAAAAGAAATATAAAGTTAAAAGTAATGGAAAATCTGAGAGTTCTGGCCTTTTTCCTGAAATAGTTATGAAGATTAATTGGTCTACATGTACATGTTTGGTTTCTATCTACAAAAATATTAATAAAAAACCCAGAAATACTAGCTGTATTGTCAAAATACTTACCAGTATGTCATTCTGAAAATCACTTATGACTAATTTTTACAGCTCGTACAGATCGAAGAACTAACTCCTTCACCGACACGAGACAAGGCTCCATTTCCCTTGACTATCATTCGGATCTGAGTCTGTTGGTGGACAACACCTATGAGACTGGGCGTGCAGAGGCACTGGGCGCCCTCTGTAGGATCTTTTGTGCACATAAGACAGGGGAGGAAATCCTTGCTGTTTACTACTCACGCTTTTACAACGCTATGTACTATGGCCTACAGACATCTGAGGATGTGAGTGATACATCCTTTATTACACTTTATCTGTCTGAGTGGTCAGTATTATACTTTATCAGTCTGAGTTGCCTTTATTACACTTATCAGTCTGAGTGGTCATTAATTATACTTTATCAGTCTGAGTGGTCAGTATTATACTTTATGAGTCTGAGTGATAATTAATTACACTTTATCAGAGTCCGAGTGGTAATTGATTGTACTTACCTTTATCAGAGTCTGAGAGGTAATTGATTGTACTTACCTTTATCAGAGTCTGGGAGGTAATTGATTGTACTTACCTTTATCAGAGTGAGAGGTAATTGATTGTACTTACCTTTATCAGGGTATGAGTGGTAATTGATTGTACTTACCTTTATCAGAGTCTGAGATAAATTGATTGTACTTACCTTTATCAGAGTCTGAGTGGTAATTGATTGTACTTACCTTTATCAGATTCTGAGAGGTAATTGATTGTACTTACCTTTATCCGAGTCTGGGAGGTAATTGATTGTACTTACCTTTATCAGGGTCTGAGTGGTAATTGATTGTACTTACCTTTATCAGAGTCTGAGAGGTAATTGATTGTACTTACCTTTATCAGAGTCTAAGTGGTAATTGATTGTACTTACCTTTATCAGAGTCTGAGTGGTCAGGTGTTGGCCAGTATCCTGTTTAACTCCTGTGACCTGTTACGTGTGGATCTGGATGGTGTACAGATTTTGGTTCCATACATACTTGATGCACTGCAGCTGATCCTCAGTGACCAATCCCCCAGACTCAAGTAAGTCAAGTGACCAATCTCCCAGACTCAAGTAAGTCAAGTGACCAATCCCCCAGACTCAATTAAGTCAAGTGACCAATTCCCAGACTTAAGTAAGTCAAGTGACCAATCCCCCAGACTCAAGTAAGTCAAGTGAGCAATCCCCCAGACTCAATTAGGTCAAGTGACCAATCCCCCAGACTCAAGTAAGTCAAGTGACCAATCTTCCAGACTCAAGTAAGTCAAGTGACCAATCCCCAAGACTCAATTAAGTCAAGTGACCAATCCCCCAGACTCGGGTAAGTCAAGTGACCAATCCCCCAGACTCAGGTAAGTCAAGCGACCAATCCCCCAGACTCAAGTTAGTCAAGTGACCAATCTCCCAGACTCAAGTAAGTCAAGTGATTAATCCCCCAGACTCAAGTAAGTCAAGTGACAAATCTCCCAGACTCAAGTAAGTCAAGTGATTAATCCCCCAGACTTAAGTTAGTCAAGTGACCAATCCCCCAGACTCAAGTAAGTCAAGTGACCAATCCCCCAGACTCAGGTAAGTCAAGTGATTAATCCTCCAGACTTAAGTAAGTCGAGTGACCAATCCCCCAGACTTAAGTAAGTCAAGTGATTAATCACCCAGACTTAAGTAAGTCAAGTGACCAATCCCCCAGACTCAAGTAAGTCAAGTGATTAATCACCCAGACTTAAGTAAGTCAAGTGACCAATCCCCCAGACTCAATTAAGTCAAGTGACCAATCCCCCAGACTTAAGTAAGTGAAGTGACCAATTCCCGAGACTTAAGTAAGTCAAGTGACCAATCCCCCAGACTCAGGTAAGTCAAGTGACCAATCCCCCAGACTCAATTAAGTCAAGTGACCAATCCCCAGTTTTCTGGGTGTTATTTTAAAGATTTTGATAATATTTTTCCTTTTCCCATCTGTTTACATCTTAATAATGCCTTTATGTGATTTGCCTTCAGACTCAGCGACTCGACCGTGGACTGTCATAACGTTGAGCTCCGGCGTTCCTGTATACAGCTCCTACTGTCCCTTCTCTGTCTACCCCTACACTTCAAGGACCTGGAAATCAACGGTAAGGGGCACTGTTTTACACTGTATTACCTGTCATTGTTGGGATGTAGTAAGTGAGAACACTTTAACCAATCATGTCACGTATCCATGATCTGTCTGTCCCTCTCTCAATACAGTGGATGCTATGTCCGATGTACTTTAATTTGATAGTAAATTCATTTTCACTTGATGGAAGTAAATAAATACTGTTTATTTGTAAGGAGACATGGTGGGAAAAACTTACGGTATTACACCGTACAGATGTAAATACTGTTTATTTGTGAGGAGACATGGTGGGATAAACCTACAGTATTACACTGTACAGATATAAATACTGTTTATTTGTGAGGAGACATGGTGGGAAAAACTTACAGTATTACACCGTACAGATGTAAAAACTGTTTATTTGTGAGGAGACATGGTGGGAAAAACTTACAGTATTACACCATACAGACGTAAATACTGTTTATTTGTGAGGAGACATGGTGGGAAAAACTAACAGTATTACACCGTACAGATGTAAATACTGTTTATTTGTGAGGAGACATGGTGAGAAAAACTTACAGTATTACACTGTACAGATGTAAATACTGTTTCTTCATGCCTATTTATAAGGGATACATGATTCCCTCAAAGTGTTTTTTACAGAAGTGGAAGATAAGTGAATATTTGTTGTTATCTATGAGTGTAATGTCCAGCTCTGTGTTATTACAGACATAGTGTCGAGTCCAGATACCCCAACACAGTGTATTACGTTTATCTCACTGAAGAAGAAGATCATGGAACTATTGCTGAAGGCTTTATACAACGCCAAGGATCCCACTAATACTCAGATGTTGTTAGGTAAGACACGTACAACTCAGATGTTGTTAGGTAAGTCACGTAATACTCAGATGTCGTTAGGTAAGACACGTACAACTCAGATGTTGTTAGGTTAAGACACATAATACTCAGATGTTGTTAGTTAAGACACGTTATAAATGGGTGTTGTTAGGTAAGACACGTAATACTGAGATGTTATTAGGTAAGACATGTAATACTCCGATGTTGTTAGGTAAGACATGTTATACTCAGATGTTGTTAGGTAAGACACATAATACTCAAATGTTGCTAGGTAAGACACGTACAACTCAGATGTTGTTAGGTAAAACACATAATACTCAGATGTTGTTAGGTAAGACACATAATACTCAGATGTTGTTAGGTAATACACGTTATACATTGATGTTGTTAGGTAAAACACATAATACTCAGATGTTATTAGGTAAGACACGTAATACTCAGATGTTGTTAGGTAAGACGCTGTGGATATCATTGCAGTGTAATTTCAGTTTGTCCGCTGTTCATGTAGTAAATTCTTATTACACTGCCACCATTTGTTAAGTAAAATCTTGGCGTTTTGAGGGATTTCACAGTATATCAGGAATATTGTATCCGGGAATATTTTTCAATAAATTTTACCTTGAAATACATTTCCAGTAAAAAAGGTTGCCGATAAAAGTATTATAGAGGTTTACGTCTCCCGTAGATAAAATAAGTCATTCATCACTTCTCTATCAATATCATCAGTTTTCATTGAATAGTATGGACTTCATGTATAACCGGGCTACTGTTGACCTTTAGTTAGTGATATGGTGGCGATCCAACCCTGAATATTGCAGCATGGTTTAACTGACCGTTATAAAGATGCATTAGCTAACACACGGTTGATTGTGTGACATCCTTTCCTGTGTACTTGTACAGGGGGCCTGATGTTGATTGTACAGGATTTGGCCATGTGTGAAGCTGCAGATCAGACCACGGTCCAACCCCAGCATGACACCTCCGGGGATTCCGACTCACACGGAGGTATACATTCTCTCTCAGAGGTTTGAATGGTACATTCACTATATAAGCATAATGACATGCATAAAGAACTTTTTATCGTGTTGTCTGTCAAAACTTGTTTAAGGAACTTTGGCTAAAGCATAAGAGCATAACACTGCTTTGGAATTTTTCCAAAGTGGGTGAATACTGTATTTTAAGAAGTTTTTCTCTGGTTTATACAGCCAATTCAGGAAATTTAAGGAAAGTGAGTTAAGTGAAACCACTTGTTTTCCAGATACCAGCCGCACCAGCATGAACTCCATGTCATCCGACTCCAGCTATCACGAGTCGTCGTACCATCGCCTGCCTCTCACCCCTCAGGATCTCGGTAGGCTCGCCATATCATGTTGTAGAATATTTGAATTAAAAGTTTTAATCATCTGTACCAAAAAAGTAGTTGTTAAGTTTGTTAATGTGTGTCATTGAACTCTGTTCCACAGAGACGGCGTATGGTCTGTTTGGCGATGCTACAGCACTGGTATGCCACCGTTTGATGGCCTCATGGAAGACCGACCTGAACACGGCACTAGCGGCTATGGAACTTCTCGGGGGCCTCGCCAAGGTCAACATCAACCCACCTAATCTGCTCATGTGTAAGCGCACAGTCAAATGGATCTGTGAGTTTATCGTGTATCAGTGTAGCCGCCCCGCCCCCTCTCACTCACGTGACCTTCACTCCATGATCGTGGCAGCGTTTAAGTGCCTGACTCTGTGGCTTGTGGAGCACAGCCGTCTGATGTACGACAAAGAGTGTCTCATTAACGTCCTAGAGGTGGTCGAACTCGGCATATCAGGCTCAAAGTCACAGGTAAGATTACCCATCATCATACTCTTTGTGGCCATAGCATTTCATTTGGGGATCTTTACTTTTATAATATTAAATATGTTTAAAATGAAGTTATTGATAATTTTTTGTAAAAAAACCACACTTCCATTGATTTCAAAGAATGATTTGAAAGGGGATTGTGTATCCCAATATCTACTATGATGTAAAATTAAATTTGTTTGTTTACTTCACTTGGTAGATTGTACTCACTTAAAAGTTCTGGGGCATAATTTACAGATTTGAAATTGTACATGTAAAGTGGACAATGTCAGTAGTGATAGAGCAGAGGCTGCTGTACAGTGATCACACTGTAGTGATACAGCAGAGGCTGCTGTACAGTGATCACACTGTAGTATGTCCAGCTTGTTGGTGGAGAAGCACTGTTTCAGAACTTGTAATCAGATATTCTGAGACACACATACATTTGTGTACTTGGTACATTTAGAAATTCAGTACTGTCAAATCTGTTTGAATTTCTCTATTTATTATAATCCTTTGCCTCGTACAAGCACTTTTAGAAGCCTCTACACTAACCCTTGTGAGAGTGCCTTTTGACCCCCGTACAGTCACCATGTATTAAATTCTATTTGATGCCGTACGATTTAGAAAACTAAACCACAGTAGAAAGGACTTTGAAAATTCTAAAATTGATAATTATTTATAAAAAAAAAACCACCATAAAATGTGTTAGCCTTAATTTAGACTAACTGTTAAACAAGTAGACCTGTATACACGGCAGTTAAATTCTTGTTTTACTTTATAGATACTTCGGACACCTGTTTCTTAACTCTTCATAGACACAGTAAATGGCCTTTGTACAATAAACAATTTTGAAAATGTCTCTCAAAATGAAAATGAATCTGTGAAACTCCTATTTTCACCAGCACAAAGCACAAGTGATTGTGTATTCCAAAATAAAATCATGGGGAAATGTCTTCTAGATTAGAAAACCTGTCATTTCATATTTTCACTCTTGCTGTGTGATAACATCAGTAAAATCACTCCTGCTTGAATGTGTACTAAACATGATACTCCGTGGGAAACTATTAGGTATTGCCTAATCTCCTGTGACCTGAACTACAACACAAGTGTGACTGTCAGCTGTTGGTCCATCACGTGTGTATCTAAATTTTCCTCAATAATGATATACAACAGATATAATATATCAAACAACACACTTGGTATTTTGACAATTTTCCCACCACAACAGAGACGTAAAAGTCTCTATATCTTACAGTTTAACTCTCCTCTAATCACACACTATATCACACTTAAAGGTTGCAGTGATCAGTGTTTCAGGAGTTAATGTTCGACAGCAGCTTTGATTTCCGTCATTTACTATCTGTTTGAACTGATTACAGTGCCTTATGGTTGCAGACCAGCTGCATAACTTCCAGGAATTTTAAAATATTAAACAAAAATAATCCATGATGTTTGTTATTACGAGTGCATTAAAGTTATACTTTTTTGTAAACCCAGGAGCCGTCAGCGCCTTAAGTAGATATGTAATTTCATGTGATATCAATGCAGTCAAAATTGATCATAAAATATTGTAAAAAAATACTTCACAGATCATCAGATGAGCACACTAATACGTTACAGAAAATCTTCTGATTTGAAACTCTCTCGACAGCGGATGTCTCAAATTGATTAGAGATATCAGATCAAGGTTGCTAAAGTGAGATGGGTAATTATTTCCCATAAATAGTATTTAGTGACATCTTCTCTGAGCAGCAATAGATATAGGTTGGTTTATTAGTAAATATAGTGGCTTATCAACTAATAACTACAGAAGTTATTGATTAAAGTGGTTAATTCTTCAATAGATCGTGAAGGAATAATGTTATGAAATACAACGTACAGTACAGTGCTATACAAACCTGCATTTGTTATGGACTATTTGTTTGAACACATAATTGTCCCTTGCAAGTAAAAATGAATTATTGACTTTGAGCTTCACAGCTTTAGAGCTCACGATTTTCCAAGAATTTTCATGAATTAGTTTTGTACCTGAATCAATTAAAATTGAGTTATTTTTGTCTTCTAATTTATGACTTACAATCTGAGGTTACATTGCTAAATGCAGTATTTAGCGGAGAGGTATGCATCAAATTAAATTGTTTTGTTTACAGAAAGTGACAGGAGAGAATCACAGTGTTTCCGTTAAGGATTCAAAAACTGTGACGACACAGGTACCTATTATTACGTTGTTGTTGCCGTGCCAACAGCCAATTGCTCTGCTTCCCTATCATACTGATCATACATAATATGCCATATTCTCCTAACATGATTGCCACGTTTAACGTAACAACCTAGCACATTCTAATCATCCTAATCATTGATGTGCATGCAAAACAGCTTAGACCCCAGACAGGATACAAGAGTTTCGCTGAGAAAGATCTACTTTTCTTTATCAAATTACAATATATGTACAAATAAGATATTCTCATAATAAAACTAGGAACAAGTATTTCTCTGAATAGGAACTGAGAAGGAATTTTTCTAAATAGAAAACACCTTTTTCTTATCTCAGAAATGGAAGTCATCAGATAAGCTCTAGATTTGAATAGAGACAAAACAAGTATCTCTGAATGGATTGTTTATTTATGTAATAGAAATAGTTTTTCAAGTATGACAATAAAAGATAAAAGTTGTCTCAGTAAAGTTTCTCCTGTCTTAGTTCTCTGACTCTTTACTGTTGTGATATAATTTTGGTAAAGTGAAACTATTTATTGTCATTGTTCAGGGTTTAATATTTTAATGTCAATATTTGTTAACCCTTGGGCTGCCATGTTACCTTGGCCTTCACCCTTAGTGAACATGATACACCTCGGTTGAAAACAAATTTGTGTCTCCTGGACTAAATATGTTAAGGCAATGGTATCACCGTTCACACAGATCCTTCCTCCTCCTAGCTTTACTCCGTTTGTTTAAAGGAGTATGCACCGCTGAAATAGAAATATATTGTTCATCACTCTAATGCCAATATAGAATCAAATCAGCAGAATTGGAGTCAAGTTTTGACAGTATGGCTTGAGCTCCAGTAGTCATCTTTTCTCTGCTTGAGCAAATATCCAAAGGGAGATAATCCAGTTTTGCTGGTCTTAGTAACATTTTTAGTTCCAAATTATTGTTGTTGACGCCGATTGCCTTAGAAGTCTTATTCAATGGAAATGTTATTTGAAAAACTTGTATACCTGCTGCATACAGTTTTCGAAATGGTAATATTTTTTAATGCAATAACTGTATAGTCATAGGGGAGATAATTCAGTTATCACAACTCAGAGGTGATATAAATAAGTCTTTTCAAGTCATAGGGGAGATAATATAGGCTAAAGGTGAGGTAATCAGATACATCCAATCACATTACGTATAGAGGAGATCCCCCTTAAATTCCAAATAAATACCTCTAATCAGACCTGAGTTAGTTCAGTCATTACAAACCAAAGGAAGGATAAACCAATTAATACAAGTCATAGGGGAGATAATTCAGTTATTACAAGTCCTAGGGGAGATAATTCAGTTATTACTAAATGCATTTTATTGATTGAATGACATTAAATGTACATGTTCATTAAATACTGTATTGATACTAATTACTTCAGTTGGTTTTATGTGTTATGACATATAATTATTGTTTTTACTGAATTATAATATATAATGACACATATTTATCTTGGCGATCCTTGTACCACTGTCAAAACTGTAGCTGTGCTTTGGAATGTGTTTTCTCCTGCGTGGCCGCAGTATAGCTTTGATGAATCATTTCTGAAAAGAATAATATATGTTGCGGGACGTTTATGAAAAGAGAGGTAATTCTTTTTACGAAAAACCCCAGTGCAGTGGGACAGGGATCCTTAATGTTCAAGAAAATTATGTTTCTTTTCTTAACCTGCTTTATATTATTAACTAATTGTACCAGATATTTTGTTCTCAAACAGTCCTTATAAAAGTATTTAACTTATTTTAGATATCCAATGTTCTGTTCTAGCACTTATAATACAAAGACAGGATTCTTTAATCATTATTTGAATCGGTGCATGAAAATAAATTTATTCATAAACAAGCTGCATCAAAAATAATAGTTTTACGGACAGAACTAAAGAGTTCTTTAAATTTTCCGTGTAGATGTGAGCATGGTTAACTTCAGTTACAAATACTGTGATAAGCCTGGATTATATTTAGATCCCATTGAGAACACTGGTTAAGGAATGGTCTCTCTACCTTTTTAGATTCATTTTGACCTAGATTTTTTTTATTGTAGTGTAGATGGTTCTTTCGAGTTCCATTTTGACCCAGATTTATTAATAACTGTGCAGATACAAAATGTATTTCAGAAAATTTTAAATATTTTGGTGAAATTTTACAGTGGTACATGGATAATACTGTATAACAAAATCCTTTGATAGAAAATGCTGAAATTTAACCCCATAACGTTATATATACCCTTAAAAACCCAATCCCCCATAGCTGACTAGGCCATTTTGTACACGCTGTGGGATACACGTTACGTCTTCTGAATAATTACTGGTTTTACACCTTCTCAATGTCAAAAATGTTCATCTTGTGGAGTGCAGGAGATTATGTTTTGATGACATGATCACGCTTCGTGGGAACCCCATTTGTTTGCAGCTGGAGTAGTGGTGATTTGTTTGCTGCTGGAGTAGTGATGATTTGTTTGCTGCTGGAGTAGTGATGATTTGTTTGCTGCTGGAGTAGTGATGATTTGTTTGCTGCTGGAGTAGTGATGATTTGTTTGCTACTGGAGTAGTGAGGATTTGTTTGCTGCTGGAGTAGTGATGATTTGTTTGCTGCTGGAGTAGTGATGACTTGTTTGCTGCTGGAGTAGTGATGATTTGTTTGCAGCTGGAGTAGTGATGATTTGTTTGCTGCTGGAGTAGTGATGATTTGTTTGCTGGCTATGGCTATATAATTAATGAAGCATGTCATATTTTGTTGACATTTGACCTCAACCTTTTTTTGAGATCTTTGAACATGAGGAGTCAAAAGTCAACATTTTATTGTCTTTATATTTAGGTTTAGATTTTAAGTAGTTTTGTGGTTTGTGCCGTTTTTATAGTTCATTTACATTTTATTTCATAGGATCATCTCTAAGAAAAACTGCATGAAATTGTTTTTATACATATTTAGAAATCCATGAATGTAAGCTATCCATGACAACAGTTCTGTATGATCTCAAGGTTTATTTTATAAACATGATGTATGAAATGCATTTTTATTTACTGTAAGTTTTTCACCTTAAATCCTGAATTGTGAATGTGCAGGTTTTGTTGTTTTTTGGTGTATATTTCTGTCAGTAACATGTACAGTCTTATCTTCAGTTTAACCTACAATAGTCCCATAATAAACATATATTTGTATATATATAAATGTTTTCTTAAACTTGATTATTTAGTCATTGTATCAAATACAATATAACCATTGGGTACTAACTACCTCTCGATTCACTATATATAAGTATTATGGTAGGCAGTAAAAATATATTTGTCAAGTGGTTGTTATTTGCTGGAGTATTTGTCGACAAACATTTTTCTCACATCAATGGATTAAATGCTGTGTGCATGGCCTTAGCCAGCAGGGATACAAGTGGGGGAAGTTCCCCCTAGTCCACCCCTCGACCCTCCTAGTTACTTTCGAGATACATGTATTGGCAGCTGACTGACCTGTTCTGGTCTTGTCATGCTTAAAATTCACAAAATTTTACAGCTTTTGGTGCTTTTGCCCCCCCCCCCCCCCCCCTATTTGAAGTGTCAACCCTTAACCCAGATTTCAACTTATCTCCTTTATCTGCAGGACCCCCGCACTCCATCCCCCAAGGCTATGGCCATGGTGTTAAAACAATTCAAATATATACAGTCAAACCTTGTTATCTGAGCTGGTTTTATCCAGAAAACTTGCAAAATGGACTCTCATTCTCAGGAATAGTATCTCACAACAGAAATTGTACTAATAAATCTGGATATTTCAATTTTTTTGGGAGACATGTTTTTACATTCTGCTTAAAAAACAATCTCCAATTCAAAAAATTGTATCAGTATGTCAAAAAATCTATATCAATAAATGCATTCCCATTTTATAAGCTTTTTAAAAAGTGTGCATTCTCTCAAAATATTCCAGAAATAAAAAGTGTCAGGATAAACAAGGATTGGCTGTAGAATTTTAAAGATTTATTTGTATCAAGTACAGCAGGAAATGAATTCTACAAAAAAAATGGGTTGTTATAGGTTACACGCTATGACACACACATGTCACTTCTAAATTGTTTTATTCCTGGGAACATTTAGTTCTTACAAAATATTGGTGTGATGAAACAAAATATTGGTGTGATGAAGGTGGCGTGTAATATATCTTAATGTTGTGTTTTTCTGGGCTGCCTCTGTCACGTGTGACTGTTGATGAGGTTGTTTAGACGGTCATGTTTGACCATTGATAAGATTCTCTTAGACTTTCTCTTTGACCATTGATAAGGTTGTTTGACCATTGATAAGATTCTCTTAGACTTTCACGTTTGACCATTGTTAAGGTTGTTTGACCATTGATAAGATTCTCTTAGGCTTTCACGTTTGACCATTGATAAGGTTCTCTGAACTTATGTTTGACCATTGATAAGGTTTTCTAGACTGATATTTGACCATTGATAATTAGTTTGTTTGACCATTGATAAGGTTCTCTGAACTTATATTTGACCATTGATAAGGTTGTTTGACCATTGATAAGGTTCTCTGGACTTATGTTTGACCATTGATAAGGTTCTCTAGACTGTGATATTTGACTATTGATAAGGTTGTTTGACCATTGATAACGTTCTCTGAACTTATGTTTGACTATTGATAAGGTTTTTTGACCATTGATAAGGTTGTCTGGATTGTGATATTTGACCATTGATTAGGTTGTTTGACCATTGATAAGGTTCTCTGGACTTATGTTTGACCACTGATAAGGTTGTTTAACCATTGATAAGGTTGTTTGACCATTGATAAGGTTGTTTGACCATTGATAAGGTTGTCTGGACTGTGATGTTTGACCATTGCTTGGACCTATCAACAATTATTTACAACATTATTCATTCACATTCACTCAATATGTATGTCTTATTTATAAATCCTGGTTCACATGATAGTGAAATAATGATTGGAGATTTACATTTACCAATACAATTTTGACACAAAATACAATCAGTAGCAGTTTGATGTATCAACAAATCAAAATACTCAACCATCTTTCCATTCAATCACAGAATCGGGCCAGTGATCCCCCAAAATTCAAGGGAGATAAGCAGTTAATGCCTGCATCGATGAGGGTAAAAGATGCTGCCGAGTCAGTTCTCACCTGTATTATTCAACATGTGGTAAGTTACATTCTGTTCTCCATCTTGTACTATACTTTGTTATTGTCTTTTAAACAGGGAGCTTTAACTCCTCTGTCTAGAGTCTCAATGATCAATTCTCCTCTAGTAGAGCACTACTTTATCATTGTCTGTTAACAGGGAGTTTTCCCTCCTCCGTGTAGACTAGAGTCTCAAATCTCCCTCTAGTAGAGCACTACTTTATCATCGTCTGTTAACAGGGAGTTTTCCCTCCTCCGTGTAGACTAGAGTCTCAAATCTCCCTCTAGTAGAGCCTTACTCTATTATTGTGTGTTAAACAGGGAGAGTTCCGTCCTCTGAGTAGACTAGAGTCTCAAATCTCCCTCTTATAGAGCCTTACTCTATTATTGTGTGTTAAACAGGGAGAGTTCCGTCCTCTGTGTAGACTAAAGTCTCAAATCTCCCTCTAGTAGAGCCTTACTCTATTATTGTGTGTTAAACAGGGAGAGTTCCATCCTCCGTGTAGACTCAAGTTTTCATTCTCCCTCTAGTAGAGCCTGACTTTATGACTATCTGTTAACAGGGAGCTTTCCCTCCTCCATGTAGATTGGAGTCTCAATTCTCTCTCTAGTAGAGCACTACTTATCATTGTCTGTTAACAGGGAGCTTTCCCTCCTCCGTGTGGGCCTGAGTCTTTGTTCTCGTTATTGGATGAGAAATCCCTCTTGAAGTACTGCAAGGGTGTGGGATTTTCCGAGCAGGCGTCGCCTTTCCGATATTTTGTCCTGGAAAACTCCATTATTGTGGGATTGCTGGAGCAACCGTTGGGAAATGTGGAGGGTGAGTAGGATTAATTCTCTTAGTTCATCAACATCCATGATGTACTTAGTATGATTATGTCATTTCTTTGTAGAAAGCACCTGTTTATTCCAAAAGTGTTGAATATATAATTATGTTTTTGATACAATATTGTCCTGATCTTTTTGTACAATGTTGACCAGGTAGTGTAGCTAACCCTGCTGCGAATGAAGGTTGCTGGAGAATCATGTATCTCTTCATATTAAATGATACATAGATTTATCTTCCCAGAGCTGAAATGTTATTACTTATTGCTGCAGCAGCTCGAATTATCCTCAGGCTTGAAAGATGCCAATTTTAAGAACGTTTTTGTTTTTGTTTTTCATTATTCATGATTTATGGAAATATTTCGGTTTTCAGATCCACTGCCCAACGTGACGGCCTTGATACGAGGCCCATTTGGGAGACATGCTTGGACCATGCAACTGCGGCATTCTCCCCGAAATAAAAACGTACGTATCTACAACCTGCCCGTGATGATATCTATAGTAACAGTAAGGTGAACTCCCTGTGTTAGAAAACATAGGCATGTATGAACCATGGTATACAGGTAGGTTCATGTTGAGCTCCCTGTGTTGGATAACATAGGTACGTATGAACCATGGTATACAGGTAGGTTCATGTTAACTCCCTGTGTTAGATAACATAGGTATGTATGAACCATGGTATACAGGTAGGTTCATGTTAACTCCCTGTGTTAGATAACATAGGTATGTATGAACCATGGTATACAGGTAGGTTCATGTTAACTCCCTGTGTTAGATAACATAGGTATGTATGAACCATGGTATACAGGTAGGTTCATGTTAACTCCCTGTGTTAGATAACATAGGTATGTATGAACCATGGTATACAGGTAGGTTCATGTTAACTCCCTGTGTTAGATAACATAGGTATGTATGAACCATGGTATACAGGTAGGTTCATGTTAACTCCCTGTGTTAGATAACATAGGTATGTATGAACCATGGTATACAGGTAGGTTCATGTTAACTCCCTGTGTTAGATAACATAGGTATGTATGAACCATGGTATACAGGTAGGTTCATGTTAACTCCCTGTGTTAGATAACATAGGTATGTATGAACCATGGTATACAGGTAGGTTCATGTTAACTCCCTGTGTTAGATAACATAGGTATGTATGAACCATGGTATACAGGTAGGTTCATGTTAACTCCCTGTGTTAGATAACATAGGTATGTATGAACCATGGTATACAGGTAGGTTCATGTTAACTCCCTGTGTTAGATAACATAGGTATGTATGAACCATGGTATACAGGTAGGTTCATGTTAACTCCCTGTGTTAGATAGCATAGGCATGTATGAACCATGGTATACAGGTAGGTTCATGTTAACTCCCTGTGTAAGATAACATAGGTATGTATGAACCATGGTATACAGGTAGGTTCATGTTAAATCCCTGTGTTAGATAACATAGGTACGTATGAACCATGGTATACAGGTAGGTTCATGTTGACTCCCTGTGTTAGATAGCATAGGCATGTATGAACCATGGTATACAGGTAGGTTCCTGTTAACTCCCTGTGTTAGATAACATAGGTACGCATGAACCATGGTATACAGGTAGGTTCATGTTAACTACCTGTGTTAGATAACATAGGAATGTATGAACCATGGTATACAGGTAGGTTCATGTTGACTCCCTGTGTTAGATAGCATAGGCATGTATGAACCATGGTATACAGGTAGGTTCATGTTACCTCCCTGTGTTAGATAGCATAGGCATGTATGAACCATGGTATACAGGTAGGTTCCTGTTAACTCCCTGTGTTAGATAACATAGGTATGTAAGAACCATGGTATACAGGTAGGTTCATGTTAACTCTCTGTGTTAGATAACATAGGTACGTATGAACCATTGTATACAGGTAGGTTCATGTTAACTCCCTGTGTTGGATAACATAGGCATGTATGAACCATGGTATACAGGTAGGTTCCTGTTAACTCCCTGTGTTAGATAACATAGGTATGTACGTATGAACCATGGTATACAGGTAGGTTCCTGTTAACTCCCTGTGTTAGATAACATAGGTACGCATGAACCATGGTATACAGGTAGGTTCATGTTAACTCCCCGTGTTTGATAACATAGGTATGTATGAACCATGGTATACAGGTAGGTTCATGTTAACTCCATGTGTTGGATAACATAGGTATGTATGAACCATGGTATACAGGTAGGTTCATGTTGACTCCCTGTGTTAGATAGCATAGGCATGTATGAACCATGGTATACAGGTAGGTTCCTGTTAACTCCCTGTGTTAGATAACATAGGTACGTATGAACCATGGTATACAGGTAGGTTCATGTTAACTACCTGTGTTAGATAACATTTTATCCAGGTGCAGATTTCAGTATTTTAGGAGGAGGGTGGGATGTTAGGTGGGGGTGGGATGTTAGGTGGGGGGTGGGTTGTCATATTTTGTTTAATTGTTATCTGATCTCTGTAAATAAGATCTCCTGTTTTGCATTCTATCTAGTCTACAGTGCATTCATTATTTCGTCTTATAGGTTAACTCCAAGTCACACCTGAGTGACCCTGGACGACCTCTGCCGATGGAAAATGTTGGAATTCACCACAACGTCAAACATCGGCACTTTCCGGAGTCTGTTGACAAGATCCCATTTTCTCAGGCGTAGGTATCCTTGTTCTAAATAGTGTGAGAGAAAACTTCTTTGTGCTTTTGAAATTCCTATCTGTTTGAAATAGAAGTCTGGGTCTATGTTGCATCAAAACCCTGCTCTTTTATTTCTCAACAACTGCACAGATTGTAACCAAATTTAGTTTGAAACATTTCTGCGGCAAGCTGATCATAATTTGTATAAACGAACATCTAGTGACCAGAACTACAAACTACATGTAAAAAATAAAATAGGAAGTTCACAAGAACTCTTTTGTAAATACAAACTGTACACGGGTGTAATACAAACTGTACACTGGTGTTATACAAACTGTACACTGGTGTAACACAAACAGTACATGGGTGTAATACAAACTGTACACTGATGTAATACAAACTGTACACTGGTGTAATACAAACTGTACACTGGGGTTATACAAACTGTACACTGGTGTAACACAAACTGTACAATGGGTGTAATACAAACTACATGGGTGTAATACAAACTGTACACTGGTGTAACACAAACTGTACATGAGTGTGATACAAACTGTACACTGATGTAATACAAACTGTACACTGGTGAAATACAAACTGTACACTGGTGTAATACAGACTGTACACTGGTGTAACACAAACTGTTCAATGGGTGTAATACAAGCTGTACATGGGTGTAATACAAACTGTACATGGATGTAATACAGACTGTACACTGATGTAATACAAACTGTACACGAGTGTAATACAAACTACATGGGTGTAATACAACCTGTACACTGGTGTAATACAAACTGTACTCGGATGGTATACAAACTGTACATGGGTGTAATACAAACTGAACACTGGTGTAATACAAACTGTACACTGATGTCATACAAACTGTACAAAGGTGTAATACAAACTGTACACTGGTGTAATAAAAACTGTACACTGGTGTAATACAAACTGTTCACTGGTGTTATACAAACTGTACACTGGTGTAACACATACTGTACATGAGTGTGATACAAACTGTATACTGATGTAATACAAACTGTACACTGGTGAAATACAAACTGTACACTGGTGTTATACAAACAGTACACTGGTGTAACACAAACTGTACATGAGGGTGATACAAACTGTACACTGATGTAATACAAACTGTACACTGGTGTAATACAAACTGTACACTGATGTAATACAAACTGTACACGGGTGTAATACAAACTACATGGGTGTAATACAAACTGTACACTGGTGTAATACAAACTGTACACTGGTGTAATACAAACTGTACACTGGTGTAATACAAACTGTACACTGGTGTAATACAAACTGTACACTGGTGTAATACAAACTGTACACTGGTGTAATACAAACTGTACTCGGATGTTATACAAACTGTACATGGGTGTAATACAAACTGTACACTGGTGTAATACAGACTGTACACTGGTGTAATACAAACTGTACACTGATGTAATACAAACTGTACACTGGTGTAATACAGACTGTACACTGGTGTAACACAAACTGTACATGGGTGTAATACAAACTACACTGGTGTAATACAAACTGTACACTGGTGTAATACAAACTGTACACTGGGTGATGTTTGCAGTGATAAGAGTATCCCTACCCTGGAGTCGCTGGTGACGGAGAAGGAAAGAGCCAACCTGACCAAGCTCAAGTCCTTCATTGAGAAACAGATACAGTTCGAGAATCAGATCAACAGTCGCAGCAAACAGGATCTCGCCAAGTCCAAGTTCCCCAACCCCGAAACAGAGTGTAAACCCCCAAAGTGAGTATAGATACGCCTCAGTTAACTCAGCTCTCCTCAGATAAAAATAAATGTGTCATCTCGTCAAGTCTACATTCCCATAACATACAATATATTGTGATAGATGCTTTGACCGTACATAACATAGAAAGAAAAGTCAAATTATTGTTGGTACATGTATATGTACCTCTCATTACAACGTTAAGCTTCATGACCCTGTTAAGATATATGTGATGAACTTTGACCTGTATATTATATTATGTGACCCTGTGAAGATATATGTGATGACCTTTGACCAGTATGTTATATCATGTGATCCTGTAAAGCAATGACCTTTAACTTGTATAAGAGGAAGATAAGAGATAAACCTTTTATATGTGATGACCTTTGAACTGTGTTACAGAGTGACCCAGGAGTTTCAGACAGCGAGACTGTTCCTATCTCACTATGGGTTCCTGTCTTTGGAGTCCCTCAAGGTAACAGTCCATCGATCTACTTATTACACCCCTGCAAGAAAAGGGGGGGGGGGGGAAACTTGAATCGCCCTCCATCTGCCTGTCTATGGAAACAGTCTATTGGTCCTACTGGCAAGTTGGGTAGCTTTTCACTTTCTCTTTGAGCAATATCACCCATGCTAGGACCTTCTGTGCTTGTCCAGCCTAGCTACCAGCTGTTTGAACCGGCGATGTTTTCAGTCATACAAAACAAACAATGTATACAGTATATATTTGATTATTGTGTTGGCTGTCCTTTATTTTATTTTTTTAAAGAAAGTGATTAATAGAAAAGTAAAGAATATTTATTGATTGATACTGTGATGATGGTCTGTACTTTCCCCTATTGAAAATAAAATAATTGAAGAAAGTGAAAAGGTATGTTGACTGACTTTGGTTTGTCCCATCCCTGGTGGGCACAAAAAGCTAGAAGTGAACTTCATATATACCATACCTGCCTGTACCATCACACACCGACATGACAAATAATCACAACAACAAAAATAATATATTGGTTGATACTTGGGCTTTTGTCTGTTCTCTCTATTTAAAAACTGAAAATTAATGAAAAATTCAAATATATACATGTATTGATTGATACATTGATTATGGTCAACCTTCCCCCATTTGAATGAAAAATATAGCAAAGATGTTGAGTTAAAATGAAAACAAAATTAAACCTGTGTATTGATAAATTGTGATTAATAACTTTATGTTTCACTGAGCCTTGATTTATTGAGGCCCTGGCAAACAAGAAACACCCTGAAAGGAAGTGTAAGTTCTGAACATAACCCTGCTGTGGTAATGTTATATTATAGGGGTAGCCATCCTGTATATTATGGAATAGAATTGGTGTATGTTTTAGGAACCTAAGAACAGCAGTATTCCTCCCGCCCTTGTGATGCTAGATACAACCAACTCCGCGCTGTTCACTGACCTTGAAAGTCTCGACACGGTGACTGCTCGAGACAACGACACTGTTCATGTGTTCTACGTCAAGTCTGGACAGAAACTGCCACAAGAAATTCTGGGTAATGTGGTAAGTACAAAAACACTGAGCAAGTACAGAAAAGACAGGTTACTGAAATTGGTGGAGGCTTTTTCTGTAAACATTAAACACAAGACTATTATGAGTACCTGCTGCAGACGTCCTGTACACATATGAAATAGTATATTTATGACCCATGTTTTGCAGACGTCCTGTACACATATGAAAAAGTATATTTATGACCCATGTTTTGCAGACGTCCTGTGCACATATGAAATAGTATATTTATGACCCATGTTTTGCAGACATCCCGTAACAATGTCCAGCCTCAGTTCCTGGAATTCCTACACTCACTCGGCTGGCCGGTTGACATCAGGAAACATGCTGGCTGGACAGGACACATCAGCACCAGCTGGAAAATCACAGAACCAGACGACTTGGATGGTGAGAACACTTATACCATTAATAGTTAACCTGGTCAGTCTTGGTACCAGATACTTCATACAAAACTACCTGTCATTAAGTCAGTAGCAGTGATGTGATGCTCCGTGGTTTCTGTTACAGAGGACGAGTTCCAGCTGGGGACGGGCGGCTCTATTTACGACGGGAGACAGCAGGTTCTGTACTGGGCCGATGTGTCCTCCGAGGTGGCCTTTGTTGTACCGTCCCTAGAGACTTACAATACAAAGATGTTGTCCGTCGACTCCAGTGGAGGTCAGCACAGATACATACAACACGAAATGCGTTCAATAGAACTTACACTATTTTTCAATGAATACCAACTGATAAGATGCAGTATAGCTTTGATAAGGCACGGTAGTCTAGTGGTAGGACGCTGGACTCGTGACCAAAGGGTTGTGGGTTCCAGTCATGGCAGGGCACTTTGCTGTATCTTTGAGCAAGATATTTTACTCCGCTTGTTCGTGTCAACTCAGCTGTAAATGAGTACGTGGTTGGGCAGTGCTAGAATTGTAGAAAGCTTGCTGTAAGCGCCGAAATTGCAGCACCGGCTGTATGTTCCCAAGGGAGTTGAGAAAGATATTGGCTGGTTGCAAAGGCCCTATAACCACTGATAATAATTGTGAACCGCTTTGAAACGACCTACAAACTAGGTTGTGATAAAGCGATATATAAGAACCTCAAATAATTATTATTATGGAAAGAAAAAGGTAAAGTTTTATTGACAAATTGATCAAAGAGGAGGTAAGAAATCAGAAGCCATTTTTCATGACATCATCTTTATCAGGTCAAAGCAACACTTAAAAAGGCAGGCTGCTAACACACAAAAAAGTCACATTTATGTGTGATGCCTTATTAAAAAGATATATATTATATAGTCCGTGTTATTATCCATTACTGTAAGAAACAGAGGTGTTCTAACTGTGGTTTTGTACTTGTAATAAACAGAGGGATTCTAACTGCTTTTGTACTTGTTTACAGAGCGATCCCCACTGTTTCCACACCACGTAGAGAAGCAGGGATCAGAGCCAACACACAAGCCCAAGTCACTGTCCCTAGAACGCACCATCACCTCCGAGGTTGGGGACAGAATCCGGGCCGACAGAGAAAGTCCCAGCTCTCCACAGGAACCCCCAACGGTCCGCTTCCGTAACCAACGCAGACAACCAGCACATATGATTGGACCTGACACAAAAATGTTTGTCGTGTGGTTAGAAAATTTTGAGGACCATGACAATTTTCCTTCAGGTGTGTTGGACAAATTTAGCATTTTATTACTGACAGTTTGCCTGATGGTAAGTGTTATTTATTGTGTAATTGTGATAGGTTTTATCTCTATGGTTTGTATTTTTTGTGTAAATGTGATAGGTTTTATCTCTGTGGTTTGTATTTCTTGTGTAATTGTGATAGGATTTATCTCTATGGTTTGTATTACATATATATGATTATCCGAAATACAAACCATAGGTTTTATCTCTATGGTTTGTATTTCTTGTGTAATTGTGATAGGTTTTATCTCTATGGTTTGTATTTCGGATAATCATATATATGTAATAGGACGAGAAATAGTGATAAAGTTAGTGCCGTCGCTGGGGCTTGAACCCGCGACCCTTGGCTGTCCAGCCCGATGCTCTACCGCTAAGCTAAAGGGAAATTCCCTACAGCTGACGCTTGTAAGACAACCTAATCAATGCACTTCCTTTACATATACGATCTCGGTATTCAAGACCATTCACACTGTGGGACATTACATATTTAATATTATATTTGAAGTTTTAGAAGAAAGAACAGCGTACAGATTATATCTGGATATTAGCTGACGGGAATAGATATAGTTATTAGTCTTCTCTTCTCGGTTATCCTTCGTATGATGCAATCAAAGCTGACATCAAAAACACCATTTTGTGCGAACTGTTCAGTAATAAGAAGTGTATTTATCATTATAGCATGAGAATTGGCTGTGTTCTAACCATTCACAGTTTTCATGGTCAAACGTAAGCTTCAGATATTTTAAAACTTTTACGTTTTACTCTAGTCTATTCTCTTAGTTTGTCTATTCTCTTAGTTGAAAATAGTTACCAGCCAAATTAGTATAAAGAGTTTTCATTCTTAACGGGACAGTTTTCCTGAACAGGAGAATTACTTGGGGCTACAAGCTAGTAAAGGCATGGAGGACTGTATAACATCCTCCATACATTTACTGACTTTTTATTTTTTTGTTGACAGGAGAGTAACTTGGGTTGACAAATACCGGTGTTGAGCACTTTGTGACAATCCCCATACATTTGCTGGTCTGTTTGTTTTTCATTGACAGGAGAGTTACTTGGGTGATCAGTACCCGTGTCGAGCACTTTGTGACGTTCCCCATACATTTACTGATTTGTTTGTTTTTCATTGACAGGAGAGGTACTTGGGTGACCAGTACCCGTGCCGAGCACTTTGTGACGTTCCCCATTCATTTACTGATATGTTTGTTTTTCATTGGCAGGAGAGTTACTTGGGTGACCAATACCCGTGTCGAGCACTTTGTGACGTTCCCCATACATTTACTGATAGGTTTGTTTTTCATTGACAGGAGAGATACTTGGGTGACCAGTACCCGTGTGGATCACTTTGTGACGTTCCCCATACATTTACAGATATGTTTGTTTTTCATTGACAGGAGAGTTACTTGGGTGACCAGTACCTGTGTCGAGCACTTTATGACGTTCCCCATACATTTACTGATATGTTTGTTTTTCATTGACAGGAGAGTTACTAGGGTGACCAGTACCCATGTCAAGCACTTTGTGACGTTCCCCATACATTTACTGATAGGTTTGTTTTTCATTGACAGGAGAGTTACTTGGGTGACCAGTACCTGTGTCGAGCACTTTATGACGTTCCCCATACATTTACTGATTTGTTTGTTTTTCATTGACAGGAGAGTTACTTGGGTGACCAGTTCCCGTGTGGATCACTTTGTGACGTTCCCCATACATTTACTGATTTGTTTGTTTTTCATTGACAGGAGAGTTACTTGGGTGACCAGTACCCGTGTCGAGCACTTTGTGACGTTCCCCATACATTTACTGATATGTTTGTTTTTCATTGACAGGAGAGTTACTTGGGGTGACCAGTACAGGCGTGGATCACTTTGTTACCACGAGCACCAGTAGCACAAGCTCTACACACAAACTTCAGGAGAAGGACACCTTTATTATATTCATACACGCTCTAAAGAATGGACTGTTCCGTATACACATGCAAGGCCAAACTAACAGGTAAACAGAGAAGTAATACATCTGTATACACAGGCAGGGCCAGACTTACAGGTAAACAGAGAAGTAATACATCTGTAAACAGAGTCAGGGCCAGATTTACAGGTAAACAGAGAAGTAATACATCTGTATACAGAGGCAGGGCCAGACTTACAGGTAAACAGAGAAATAGTACAACTGTATACAAAGGCAGGGCCAGACTTACAGGTAAACACAGAAGTAATACATCTGTATACAGAGGCAGGGCCAGACTTACAGGTAAACAGAGAAATAATACACATCTCAATCAATCAGCATTAAAGATGTACTGTACATAATTATGTATATTAAGTTACCAAGAGGTGTTTGTTAGGACTGTGGGATGTGATTTCTCCTTTAATTATGTCCTTGTTTTGTTTATGTTATGGTAACAATTGACCTTGAAATTAACCTTGTTACAGAGTGTCCATGGCGATACCTCTGGTGGATGGGATGGTGGTCAGTAGGAGAGTGCTCGGGACAATGGTCAGACAAACGTGCATTAACATATGTCGCAGGAAACGGCTCGAGAGTGAACTGTAAGTATTGAGAGGAAATTGTATATTATTATCTGTGGAGGTGATAGTTTTACTATCATCCTATAATATGATACGTACAACATTTATCAACATTTTTTTGTACATATTACTCTCAGTCGAGGTGGACCTAGTTACTCTCAGTCGAGATGGACCTAGTTACTCTCAGTCAAGTTGTACTTAGTTCTAGTACATCAATCAGTAGATATCGTTTTCAGTATGTGCTTACTATCTGAGTGTGCAGCATTATGTCTCACAATCCAAACAATACATAAAGAGAATGTAAAATTCTGGCTAGAAGGAAAGCCAAGTGAGTTTAACTGTGATTAGTGTAGATCACTGAAATCAAGCTGTCACAAGTGTTGGTGACTAAAGTTATGCAAGTTCAACTGCAATTAATGTTAAGTTACTGAAATTAGCTTTTAGAGCAGGTTTCAGAAGTTATAAGATTTTCACTGTGGTAAGTGTAGGTCTCAGAAGGTATGCATTAAGCTTTGAGTAGTGTTTCTCACTGAAGTTGTTCAAATGTAATTACTGTAGGCCCTCGAATTAACGAGAGATTAACGAAGATAAACGCAGGTTACTTCAGTTTTGTGGCTGTTCATCTGTGACTAGTGTAGGTCACTAAAAGGAGAAAATTAACTACATTATTGGTTAGATATTTCACAGAGAGTGTAAATACAGATCTGGCCGTATGTTCACTCTTTTGTACCTACATTAACACATAAGCATCCTAAATGGGAGGTCATGAAACTTCACACATATTGACAAACATCACCTCTTCTACGAGTTCGTGTATCAACCTTCTGCAGTCAAAAGTTAGGTTACTGTTACTATATATAGAATTTGATACTTTCTTTCCTCACCGCTCTACAGGCGCCATATCTTTTCCAGATGCTACGAAACTTTTCACAGGTGTTCAGAACTTGACCTCTTGTACGACTTATGTTTTGACCTGCTGCAGTCAAAAACTAGGTCACTGTTTCTTGTTTCTATAAACAGGGTTTAATACAAATTGCTTTACAAATTGCATTTCTTTTCCAATTGTCATGAAACTACAGACACATTTTCAAAAACATTTGCTGTTAAAAACTTTGCATTTTATGACTTTGAATGCGGGAGTATTTGTATTGTATGCCTTGTTTTAGTGGAATTATATTTACTTCAATGACAGCAAAACAATAGGCTTCACTGTAACTTAATTGCTCTAACTTTCTAGTAACTGATGAGCTGTAATTCTAGAATCTATTTGTTTTTTGGCTAGTTCTGCTTTATCCCACATTGTAGTAATAGCATTGCTAACCAGGGTTATAGCATAGCTTACCAAAGTTATTGCATTGTTTACCAGGGTTATAGCATTGTTTACCAGTGATATATCAATGTTTACCAAAGTTATAGCATTGTTTACCAGGGTTATATCATTGTTTACCAGGGTTATGGCATTGTTTACCAGGGTTATATCATTGTTTACCAGGGTTATGGCATTGTTTACCAGGGTTATATCATTGTTTACCAGGGTTATGGCATTGTTTACCAGGGTTATATCATTGTTTACCAGGGTTATAGCATTGTTTACCAGGGTTATATCATTGTTTACCAGGGTTATAGCATTGCTTACCAGGGTTATAGCATTGTTTACCAGGGTTTTATCATTGCTTACCAGGGTTATAGCATTGCTTACCAAGGTTTTATCATTGCTTACCAGGGTTATAGCTTTGTTTACCAGGGTTATATCATTGCTTACCAGGGTTATAGCATTGTTTACCAGGGTTTTATCTTTGCTTACCAAGGTTTTATCATTGCTTACCAGGGTTATATCATTGTTTACCAGGGTTATAGCATTGTTTACCAGGGATATATCAATGTTTACCAAAGTTATAGCATTGTTTACCAGGGTTATATCATTGTTTACCAGGGTTATAGCATTGTTTACCAGGGTTATATCATTGTTTACCAGGGTTATAGCATTGCTTACCAGGGTTATATCATTGCTTACCAGGGTTATAGCATTGCTTACCAGGGTTATAGCATTGCTTACCAGGGTTATAGGATTGCTTACCAGGGTTATAGCATTGCTTACCAGGGTTATAGCATTGCTTACCAAAGTTATAGCATTGCTTACCAGGGTTATAGCATTGCTTACCAGGGTTATAGCATTGTTTACCAGGGTTTTATCTTTGCTTACCAGGGTTATATCATTGCTTACCAGGGTTATATCACTGTTTATCAGGGTTATAGCATTGCTTACCAGGGTTATAGCATTGCTTACCAGGGTTATATCATTGCTTACCAGGGTTATAGCATTGTTAACCAGGGTTATATCATTGCTTACCAGGGTTATATCATTGCTTACCAAAGTTATAGCATTGTTTACCAGAGTTCCTATTGTTGTAGGTACCAGCCTCCCCATGTGAGAAGAAAACACAGAATTCAGGAAATTGTGAAAAACTACCATCTCAAAATGTCTGAACCTGAATTTTACACTGCATTATTTCAAGACGTACCGAAGTGAAGTTTGAGCCACATCATGTTGTAGACTTTTAGTTCAATTTGTGGAAGTGAATTAATTGCAGTGATGAAGGATTTTATAATCACTTGACCAGCTATGAAAGTTTACTATGATAAACCCAGTGTGCCAAATTATAGGACAAGCTTCCAAATCAGGCTTGATTTGATGAGAAAAATGATTGAGATTTATTTATGTGTTCTTTCAAGGTTATTTTTGCTACAGTTGTTTTTAATTCTGTCAAAATTTAGATACAAAACTATACAAAGATTTGTATCGTAATCTTGCCAGTCTTTAAAAATAATGGAATTTTCTATTTTAACATCAGGATAATGAAGACTTAAAATTACAGATCAGAAAAGGATAAAATCAGAGTGAGAATATATTGACTCGCCTCACAGTGAAGGTGCCATCAATACACTTCTTTTTAAATAATATCCTTAACAGTGGCGCAAAGTTAGCCATTCTATTTTTTTGTCTAAGAAACATTGTTAAAAGTCTGTGAAACAATGTTTCCATGGAAACATGTAAACTAGGATACAGTTTGAGTTGTGAAAATTTCTGTCGTTTTCTATTTCCCATACACACACACATACACACACCCATACACACACACATACACACACCCATACACACACACATACACACACCCATACACACACACATACACACGCCTATAGGTCCATGTATACTTAGTAGTGAAGTCATATTTATTTATCATTTATCGTTTAAAGACTACTTAACTATGTTATTGTGAGCGATCACCTGTTGTAAATGTATTTATTATTGATGTTATCATTGTTATTGAGATTCTAGTCAAACCTTGATGTACAACACTAACTGCACAAGCTGTAGGGGTGTACATACTTTGTGTGACTGTCCGTGTTAACTGGTGATGCTAAAAACCAAAGGATACAATTTTCACACTACAGAGCGAAGTAGAGTGTCGTACAAACTTATGTACTCAGCTGTTTATGTGATCACGCTCTTCTCTGTGTGTACAAATCAAAAAGTCGCTGGTGTTGTTCGGAGCATGTTGCTCTATACCGTTATGTGTTTAAAGGGAGATGCATCAAAGTCTGCTATTATGAAATTTCTGTTGATGTCTTCCTTAAACTCCCAAAGGAAATATATTGATACTTTTTCTTCCGGATGCATTATTATTACTCTCCAAGAAGCACTGGATACCTACATTTGAGAGGATAACTGGTCGCCTAATGTAAATTGGCAGTAAGCTGGTGTGTGTCTCCCTAGACCCAGCTCTGATGTGTCTTACCATTCTGTTCCCACATAAATATATGATACAATATACCAGAACATAAACATTTTACTGATAAATTCTAAATAATTTGTGATGAAATTTGATAAGATTTGTCTTTCTTTAGGTTGTCATTCATTTCAGATTCTGTTAGAAAGTTTCAAAATCTAATATTTTAAAAAAAGATAAAAAAAAAAAAGATAAAAAAATTTTCATGTCTCCAAGGTTTCCATGTGGGGAAAATTTGAGGAAAATGGTTAAAATACATGATTTTGAAAGTAAATTTTAAGGGTGAGGGGGTTTCTTGAGGCCCAAAAAAACCCTCTGGATCTGCCACTGCTTGTATGTATCACTTTCAGAGTATTTATAACAAAGTCATGATCAGGGTTAATATTTTGTTCTTTGTGGTTCTGTGAGACAAGGTAAGGAATGGAGATATGTACTGTTTGTTCTTTGTGGTTCTGTGAGACAAGGTAAGGAATGGAGACATGTACTGTTTGTTCTTTGTTGCGAGACAAGGTAAGGAATGGAGACATGTACTGTTTGTTCTTTGTGGTTCTGTGAGACAAGGTAAGGAATGGAGACATGTACTGTTTGGTCTTGTTTATAACCATCTAAAAGACCACGGTTCTCATCAGGATAAATACTTACTCATTATAATTCTGATCTGTATTACATGTATCTCCCTTAAGGATATACGCTTCATTACACTTTAAAGGCCAGTTTTGTGTTGGAGTTATCTCCCTTATAACATAATCAACTTTCAATTTATTTACCAAATTAAATATTTCTAAGCTAAAAAAGAGTTTTGCCCATTTTTTTCAACATGAAACTCTAATGAAGATACATATCACATTAAGGTGGCGTATATCCTTAAAGAATGCAGTAGACCCTTCAGGCCTTTTGTGCATAACATAATGTCTACAGAACCTCTGATAACTTGTTTGAATTATTACTGCTTTATCCATGTAAAATCGATAGCATTGCATAAGTGTCAGAGTGAAAGCTAGTATAAACTTATTGATCAAAATCCTGTGATTTCCTGGGAGCCATTATGTTATAGGTTATCTGATACCGTATGTAGTAACCCAGCATATATCTCTACGTCTCTCGGCAACGTGTGTAAGGGGTTAGTCAGACTACAATTACAATGAAAGGTGTTTCTGATCAACCATAGCAGGAACCAGGAAGGATGTTCGGACAGCACCTATGTCTGCTGTCAACACTCAAGTGCTGTACCTGTTGGTGGTGTCTTCCATCAAGACAAGAGAGGATTCGAAAAGGAAACATTTTATTTCAGAAGAGAGAATAACTGATGTGAAATACATGCATGTAAATCAAATATATCTATCAAACCTTCAGCTGTTGTTGGGTTTCTCTGGAAAGAAAGAAAGAGTTGCTTCCCTTGGACAACAATGTCTGCAAAAATTCTTAAGTTCAAGTTCAAGTTCTTTATTACTTTATTACTTCTGCAAAAATTCTCAGATACACGTCTGGACTTAGTTCTTAAGTTTCAAATCAGAATCGTTGATATTTTAAGAAAAGAAAATAGTCGATTAAATTGGTCGGTGAGATGCGACCTTTATTTATTGATCTTTAGCTGTACCTTACTCAAATTTTAAATGAACTTGCAAAATACAAGCATGACACTATATAGCTAGGACAGGGTGAGATAAGGAAAAGTGAACAGGCATCACGTGGCACAATGTTCTAAAAAAGGACTTATGGTTCGTGTCCAAAAACTAGTTCGTAACAGTCTTTAGGTGCACATGCACCACATATATACCAAATGCCCATATACATATTCTCAGGATTATCATATTCAGCTTGATACATGCTTAGTGTGCAAGATAAAATGGGCACTATATAGAAACCAATGCATTTCGACATACATTTGTAAATATAGCTAACATTCAAATAATCGAACTCGATTAAAAAATGATGACTTGTTCTTGGCATCTAGTAAGTATTTGTTTCAATGTGGTATTATCTGGTAAAGAAGCACCATCTGGCTAGGAAGATCTCGAATAGATTTTGAAATAACTACTTATTAGCTCTGAATATAATACCCACCCTGATATCAAGGTCATGATAGATATAGTCTTTTTGGCAACTTTACAACTCTTGAGCGTACATATCTATACTATGCACATGTACATAGCACCTTTCGTGTCTCGACGTCTAGTGTAATTGATACAGTTAAATGCATTGTATGACACGTTCCTGTGACGTTCCCGGTTCTCTTGGAATGCACTGTAATCACGTAAAGGCCTGTCTATTGTAATGTATGAAGTATCGTCGACTTCCGGGTATATGATTTTGTAACATGCAATGTTCTACTGGGGCTTTGTTGCCTAATGTAACCAGACCCCAGTCTGTGCTAGACATGGGTCGGGTGCATAATAACCGTGTCGGTTAATAGACACGGTACAAATAAGTATTACTTCACCCAGCGCACTGCTCATTATACCCCTTTGTTAGGGTAAATAAATTCACGCTGACTGTCCTATGTCACCTTGAAGAGTAGCGACATAATCTACAAAATAAATCCGATGACGTAAAGTAATTTAACCTGATCCTAAACGAAGAACCCGCCAACACCTTCCTGTCTTTGATTCCAAAGACACCATATGACCATGATAGGAGAAAACTAGCCTTGCATTAAAATGATCTAACACTGTATGCCAACGTTACGACAGAGCCGGACATCCAGAACGATGATTATTAGTTCTGCTAAACGGCCCATCAACACAGGATAGGTCATTAGGGCCAACAAATAGTCGACAAAAACAAATGCAAAATAAAAACAAAAAACAAACTTAAAGGTCGGACATCCAGGAGATACGGCCTGAGCGGAGCAGCCCGGTAGTTATGATCCCATAAAAGATGTATCCGAAACCAATACACACATGGGTGTAACGTCCGACCTTAACCTGGGCGGGCAGTCACAGAACAAATCCGTCAATGGTCGACAGTGCGCAAAGGGACAAAGTTTTAGTGAAGAAGTTCAAAGGAGAGCAACAAAATCACTGCCGAGAGCCGGAAACATCAGAAAAATAGTACAATGAAAAGCTTTGGAAACAAGGACTACCTCGCTCGAGTTTAACCGGAGGGAACGTGCTGATAAGCTAGAGGACATTTTTAAAATCATAAAAAGAAAGAAAGAAAACAAGTTTACAACACAGCTTCGTTTCAATGGGGAAACTCGTCATGTCGGAGGATAATTAACAACACAGCCTTACATTATATTACTTTTGATGTGCGTCCGAGTAATAATACCCCATTAAATTGTTTGATCGCCGCTATATGATAATCTAGTTGTATAACTTAGAAAACTTGTCAGTGGATGCAATGACGTGTACCTTGTGTAGGTGTTTTTAGTATGAAATTCTTTTGGATTGCAGATGCACAGAAATGTAGTATTCATACTAACGTTACAGTTAAAGGGTGAACTAGTTCCCCGTGTCATAGTACCAATTTCAATGACAACGAACTAAAAGTAAATCAGATGAAAAGACACTCGAAATAACTGGTTTCAGATTGATTCCTGATGTAAAGGTCTTTATTACACTCAGCCCTACTCGGCTTACAGGACGCTATTAAAATGACGTACATTAATGTATCACATGTTTCGTGTCCTGTAAATGTTATACAAGTGGTTTGCAAATGAAATAACTTAGAATATGCACATGTTCAATCTAATAATAATAATAATAATTCGAGGTTCTTATAGGTCGTCTCAAAGCGGTTCGCAAATTATTATTCGTGGTTATAGGGTCTTTGCAACCAGCCAATACCTTTCTCAACTCCCTGGGGAGCATACAGCCGGTGCTGCCATTTCGGCGCTCACAGCTAGCATTCTACAATTATAGCACTGCCCAACCACGTACTCATTTACAGCTGAGTAGACTGGAACAAGCGGAGTAAAGTATCTTGCTCAAAGATACAACACAGAGCCGTGCCGTGACTCGAACCCGCAACCCTTCGGTCACGAGCCCGGCGCCCTACCACTAGACTACCGTGTCTCCATCATACCTGTTAATCACAGAAACAAGCCATCATATTTGTTGTTTTACTCGGTGTTCTTCATCGTTATTCTTAGAATGCTGATTAGATCATAATTTATAAAATTACAAACCACGGTAGTAGTACACCATCCTTTTGTAATCTCATAGGTAAAGTTCGAGAAAGCAGGGAATGAGCTTGTGTGTCCTTGTGTTTAAGATCTGAGTCGTAAATACATTCAAAGTGTGCAAAAAACATGTCGTTTAAAGACATCGTTAATGTATTTGAAAGTGACAATGAATGATTGGGCAAGGTCTTACCTGTCCTGATAGGGGAACAAAAACAAGTTGGCCAAAAGAGGTAGGCCAACGGTCTGCTGGAAAATCTTACCACCGAACTCGACAAAGATATTGTCATCAAAGGAACTCAAACATTATCACGATTTTATCCTCATTATATAATTTATTGGACTTTGTCGTGATGTTTACAAAATATGCTTCAAGCTAATATCACCACAATTACGAAGTAATGAAACATCTATCAAAAATTCGGTTAGTTTTGCCAATAAGGGTCAAAAGAATTATCATCCCCGTCTGAAGTGTTCAGAAACGGGGAGAAATGGAGCGAAAGTGTGAACAATATTTATATAACCTTTATAACATTGCTAGTCCCGAACTTTTGGTAAAACGATAGTTTACTATGAAACATGTATTTCCCGTAAACCATGTCAAAATTATGCTACAAAGTTGTGGCCATCCTCGGGGACAGATAAATGGTTAACAACCTTGCATTGATTACAGTTTGATTTTTTTTTTGTAAACGAAAACTGTCATAACAGGAGAACAAGGACGTGTATTCTGTTTGGTATGCCATACGGGATACGCAAAAAATAATAATAACAAATACCGATTAAATGATATTTTTAGGTCTTCAAATCCATATTCCCTTAAATCTGTGTATAATGTCACTAATGGCCCTGATTTAGTGATACAAAGATGGTAACCAAATACGGGAGAAGTTGAGTGTGGTTTGGACATCGGGCCAAGATATACAGACCTGGATTATTTTATTTTTGGTATGTTCATATTCTCTTTAGAATGTTTAAGAAGGATTGGTCCTGCTAATTTTCACCCACTCTGTATAAAGTGTACCGTTCCAGCACGCTCTCGCTTTGCCATATTTGCCCGCTTTGTCCCTTGTCTTGGTAGTCCTGAACGTTACATGTTTATGGTAGAAGTTTCACTGTACTCTGTGACCTTCTATTCCTCAGGTGGTCCATTGTTGTATGCTGATGTAAATCCAAATAAGTTAACGTTCACTTAAGGATTGAATCTTGTTTTGGTCGATAGCATGGGGTATCAACATGAACTGCCAATATTGGAAGCTTTGAAGCAATGCATTTAGAATGGCTGTAAGAAACCATTGGGACACCTTTGTATCTAAGATGAGGTATTATAAAACCTTCCATGGACTTGTGGTGTAGGGAATTACAGATAATGACATCTAACATCTTGGCACACTCGACCATCATAAAATGTCGAGTTATTGGAGATTCGTTAGTATTTGTTGAGCAGGCTTAAGGTCGACCTCGATACTCCAGGGGTTACGCTCACTTTTTCTCTGTGCAGGCAGCGTAAGTAAACGTTGCCCCTGGAGTATCGAGGATGGCGTTCGGTCGAATTTGTAACTAGCTTCTAAAGATTGTCAGGAACAGTACAAGCTGCATCCTCGTATGTTTGTAGTAGAAGAAGATACACGAAGAGTTCCCGTCAGGTCTTCAAACGAAACATCGTATTCGACCGGATTGTGGTACATGAGTACATTCCAGACTTGACAAATTTGATTTAATAACAGGTAGTTGAGGACAGGATTGAAAGATATTCTAGTTTTCTTAATAGAACTCAATATATATCTAAGAAATTACACCGATGCCCAATATATCAGCATACCCGACCGTACATATGTAATGGTACTTTAGCGGATGTATAACCACAAAATATATTAATCATTGATTAGTCAGAAAATCGAATCATGAATCAACCCTCTCCATTAAGTACGTGTGGGCTAATATCGTAGAATGGTTAGTGGGTATATTCCTCATTGTTTCCTCAAATATTACAGGTATTTCCTGTAGGTGTGATCACTTCTATTGACTGTGTTTTTCACTTACTGGGATACGCCGCGATCACACCTGGTATTATAAACACAGCGTCCACAGTAGGTGAATAACGTGACCCAGTTGTACGCCAGTCCCACGAGGACCCAGTGCCCCAGTGTGTATACTCGCACGTTATATATTACATCACCCGAGGTCGTGGTCCACTGCGCGCCATGCTTTCTACTCGTGTGTCGGTCA